TATATATATATATATATATATATATATATATGTATATATATGTGTATATATATATATATATATATATATATATATAATATCCGCTGCTTAAATAGTTCTGATTTCATCAGTTGTGTTCACCACTGAAAATTAAAAACCATGAAATTCCCACAGGGATTTATATACAATTTAAATGTAGCCTAATTTGGTCGGCCCTTATTGTAGCTATATTTTCTCCTCACTTTGGCATTTTTAACCTAAATGCCAAACAATTAACCTAAAATACCATACAATTCAATATTATGGCTGTTATGAAGACATTTTTATTTTAATTATGCCACAAGCTTTAGGGGACTGTTGCAGGGCAAATCAAAAGAATGGGCTACATGCCACTTTACAGCACACATCTATGGAAAATGTAGTCATGTCGGTCTTGTGACACTACACCACTACACTAGTTGGACAGGAACCAAGGAAGAGGAGATCAGGAGATCACTGCAATGGGATGAGACGGGGAAGTAATCAAGGGATAGTAGTTTGGGGGATAAAACCTTCGCCTCCAGTTTGCCAGATGCATAATCAAAAACATAGTACTATTGAATAGGCCTCAGAGATCTCTTGTGTGTGCTATTAATCTTCAATGTAGCCGATAACAACGATTAAATGATTTTTCTGGTTAACTCAGAGGCTGCTGCTTCTCTAAATAGGCTGCCCCAATGCGCTCTCCAACATGCCTAGTAACAGCTGGCGCAGAAGTTGTCACGGAAGAGTTGACAACCTTGTACACTAATGAATAAAAACAGGACGTTGGACGAAAAGGACATGTAGCAGTCCACGGTGTAGCCTACTTTGGATAAGCGAGTATTCCCCCAAAGAGCGCAGCATTATCCCTCTAATTATAGACCAATAACCGTTAGTCTAGGCTGTTTAAACCAATAAGCGCGAGAGCCTCGCTTGCATTGAGGCGTTTGCATGCAGGCTGTGCAGTGGGCTCGAGGCACGGGACCACGGGACGTGGTGCGCGCATGAGAGGAAAAACTGACGGCAGTGTCATTGCGACCTTGAAGCAAGGTCATTCAGTCTCTGCTGCAGACACTGCAATTCTGCGGAGCTGCATCACACATGGTGCAGAGTCTGCATTATCACCCTGTTAGAGGCGAAACCGGCCACGCTATATCTGCATTAGATTCAGTCCGAAACCGAAAAATTTGATTTGTTAGAAACAGTTTGAGATGCTGCGTTGTAATGCTATAAGTAGAACTGTGTCACTCTTGTCGCCGAGGATATGTGTTCAAGCTGAAGTGGAGGAACAGGCTAAACTGTGAATGCCAGCCAGGGTCCCCAGGGTGCTCCTTACAGCAGGTCCTGACCCCGGACAGGTGTCGGCTGATAGGCTACATAAATACCAAGACGCCATTGTGCCTGATACACAAATAGCATTTGGGCACTGCATGCGTGAGTCATGGATAACACAACTGATAGAGAACATATAGTCTCCACCTATTCTATAAACACTATGATCTGCATAGTGGCCTGAATACACAGTAAGGCTTTTAGATGCTCTTGTTTCAAGTTGTCCTTGCTGAACAATCTTTGGTTCAAAGTCTGTATTATTACTTTTATACATATTCCTATTCTTATTAGTCTTATTATAACTGCATTTGTATAAAGTTTAAAGGGGAAACATCCTAAAACGGGGCTTTACATATTATAATGATTATCAATACTAAGGTCAGTATCTAGAAATACGGACAGATGTTTCACTAAACTGGAGATCAGAGCAGCATGGCTTGATAATGCCATCAGGTTACATTCAATGGAGTTTCACACCACTGCAACGACTAATTCCACGAGTCCAAAGAGGTTTTGTTTAAGAAGTCTCATCCAATGAGTGCACAGTGTCCATTTGTGAATTATAGAAAATGTCCTCATAATGGAACTGCTCCAGGATTTGTTTCTAACTGACATGATCACTGCAGTCTGTGATTCTGTCATCAAACCTGTATTGTATATTTAGGGTGGATTTTCCCTCTAAGTCCAGGTCAGGAGTGTCGCCTACATCAGCACTACTAACACTGGCCAGTAATTTGCCCTCTAGTGGCAGCAGCGGAACTGATGACGTTAGAGCAGCTGAGTGTGTGTCCTCCAGTAAAAGGTCACCTACTGCCACAGCACATCATCACTGCCTGCTGACTTCCTGATTGCAATGCCAGAACTCTGCCTTTTTCTTTTTACATATGCTGCAGTAAAGTGTCAGATTTCTAAAGGGCAGATGAACAGTCACTTGGTTTCTGCTCCTTCCAAACACTTTGCTTACTCACCATAACATTCTGCTTACTCACCAAAAACATGCTGAGCGTAATTTGTCTCATTTCAAATTCATTCAGACACCAACAAACAAACAAAGTTCCTGCAAAAGCCTTGGATATATGAACATGCTGTATAAATGAGTCCTGGACTTATAGGGAGGGAAATGTGTCAGTGTGCCATCTGCTGGTTGTGTTCAAAGAGAAAACAATCTGCATTCATTTACTTAGCGGGGGGGTAATCATAAACGACCATCAACTTCAACTTTTATGTATCCGATATTTTGTGAGATCGACTTTTCTTTAGAAAAATAAAACAGACAACAAAAGAACTGCAGATACAGTTTGCTGTGGCGTCATGTTTGTCCTTGGTGCCATTTCCAGATTGAAACACCAAGGAGTTTCCAGCGGAGTATCACTTACATGGATCGAACGAGGAGCGACGGCACATGCTATAAGGGCCATATTGACAACCCGAAGGGCATTTATACAGTACATCCATAATACGGTGCTGTGTGTATGCCGTTCAAATCCTGCAGCACGTCTGGCCTGTCTCCACCAACCTCATCATGAAAACCATGAGTGTTTTCATCCTCACCTCCCGCTCTGTGCACCACATAAAGCCTGTATTTCAGTTTACTGACAAAGCCATGACACATGCAAAACTTCATTTAAAAACAACTGATATTGCCTGGAATCAGTTTAAACCCGTTGTTCCCGTTGTTCCAGTTTAAACCCGTTGTTCCTCCTTCGTTTTAGCTGCTTCAGGAGTGCCCGTGTCGGTCGGTGTATTCAGGCAGTCAGGCTGAAATATTTCAACAACCATTCAACGGATTGACATGAGTTTTCCTACAGACTTTCATGGTTTCTGGAGGATGACCTTCCCTCTGACGCCACCATTAGGTCAAGCATGGCTGTAAACTCTTCATGTTACACTTCATTTTCTGTCTGAATATAACAGCTATTAATACCTAAATTATTTTCACAACAGCCTGCAAAATTAGAAAAGGATTCCAGTTAAACTTTCGCCAATTGAGGTGTACTTTAGACACTATATTGATAGAAATCTATATCAAGTAGTGGATTTGACTTTTTATTGTAACAAATTCGGGGTCCCTGGTTTCATCCTAGAAGAGGCTCACGCTGCCACCAACTGGTGCAGTGCATTGTCGTGTGACTGATTATATGACCAGCTGCAGGACAGACCCTAAAACCTCCAGAAACACAGATATACTACATTCAATATGGGACACATATTGTAACCAGCTCCTGGTTTGGTCTCTGGGATACACCCATCAGGATTCAGCTCTCTCATATGCTCAGCTTTGTTAGACAGGTTGACCTACTTTTTCATGTATGCCGGGCCATTCTTCGTGCACCAGGGCACTAACCCAACATGTGATGATAAAAAAGATGGTTGTTCAACAGATTATCATGTTTCCCAGAGGAGCAAATGTGCTGGAACAGCATCTTTAAAAATTAAGTAAAGTAGAACAAAAATGCTAAACATGCTTTTAAGATGCAATGCAGCTTTCCTTTAAAAAAAAAAAAAAAAAAAAGAAATCTTTATTACATATATGCAGTACAGTATGATTAATGCGTTTGGCAATCAAACTGCAAATATTATGGTGGTACACAGTATTTAAAAAAAAGTTTTATAACATACCAAAGATGTACAAGAGCCTGTTTAGTACCCGTTTACTTGTTGGCAGGATTCAAGAGTAACTGTCTCAGACCAATACTACCTCTCTTTAACATGAGCATCACACTGCTGTGGCAAACACATGTTTTTTTGGTTGCTTTTCTTGTTTCTTGCACTATTTGTTTTATGAATAAAAGGCAGGGAACCCTCATGTTAAGAGAGTGGTAGTGCATTACTGTCTTGGCCCAGTAGAGAGCAGTAACTCCTCAGAAAGTAATGGGAACATTGGCATACAAATCCCTTCATCATCTTTGGTTGAGCCATACACACTGGCATGCTAAGAGCATTAAATGCAAACCACAAGTGGCCAAGGCTTCTGCTGCATGTTTTCATCTTAAGAGTCTGTAAGTAAGCATTACATACAAATAAATTGCTATATTGACAACTCCTTTGTCAGAACATGAACACATCTCATATCTCTCAGGGCGATACTTGTGCTAGCAGTGGAGGTTCTGTTTTTAGCTTAATTCTAAAGGCTTCACTGGTAGACCTGGAACTGCTTGGGAGTTTCCATTGGGCTCCCTCTTGATTTTGGGGCTTCTCTGTGGAACAGGTCTTCTTTGACGTCTCCTCTTGGGTGTCTGAGAGCGTGCACAGTTGGATTGTGATGTATCCAGCAGAGGATCCAAATGTAGTTTACCACTCTGGGCATCTGAAGACTCATCAATAAAGGCAAGGTTCTCCCCAAAGTAGTCCAGAGGCTGAGACAGGTGGGGATCTGGAGGAGTCTCCTCCTTTTCAGGTTCTGCAGTTTTTTCTTCAGGCACTCGCTCCGTCTGAGTGACCTGAGAGTCTGTTTCTGACCGAGAGCCTGATTCATTAGAGGAGGCGGAAGAGGAGTAAGATCCAGACTCTGTCTGACTCTCACGTTGCTCTTCTTTCCCCTCAGGGGCCCCGTTAGCTGATGCGGTGTGACCATTGCTGCGAGGGCCGTGGCGACGCTTCCGGCGACGTCGTTTGAAGGGGTCATCGATTTTTCCTGGAATGCGAAAATCCACCGACATATTGTGGATGTTTTGAGTCCAGTCAGTGGCGTGGGCTCGGAGCTCCTCCATCTGAGAGAAGGGGATAAAACCAGAGATGATGGAAAGGAATTGGCAGAGACATGACAATGATAAAAACAGACATGAGAGGAGGAGAAGTACCTCAGCTCTGGTCTTCTTGGATAGAACTCGAAGCCAGTTACCAATCATTGTCAGGATAGATGCAAAGTAGGCAAGACCCAGCAAGATCCAGAACCACACCAAAGGCTTGTACCAGTGGTCACTCCCCGCCTTTCCTGAATCCCCTTTGAGAAGATACAAAGATTACCAGTGTGTAAAGGCAACACATTTATTCATCCATTCAACTTTTTTTACAGAGTGAATAAACATTTAAGATAGGAGATACTATGTAGCAGATTAGATCATCAATAATTCATCTCTCACAAGAAAGTAATCCTGAATTATTGATGAGTAAATGAAAATTGTCTGTGCTGAGTGAACTAAATGCATTACCAATGACAGTTATATTTATGGATGGCTAATTAAGTCACGTTCATACACATCTACAGATCAATAAATTCAACGGAAAAAAAAGCAAAAATATGCAAAAGCAAGCGCAAGTCAGATATAAACAAATTAGACGGAAACAGAAACTATGTTTTCACTTTAGCTGCTTCACACAAACAGTAAATATTTATTGATCTGTGTATTAAATTATGTCCAGTGAAGATCAGCTCTCAGCAGTTTGCGCAGTTTCACAAGGGCGTAATAGAACTACGGTGGCCCTCAGGTATCGTAAAAACACGAAAAGGCTCTCGTTAGAGCCAACGTTTGGTTTGACCGTTCTGGGCTACTGTCGGAATATGGCGGCGCAACATGGCAGACTCCGTGAAGAGGACCCACTCCCTGAGTAGATAAGATGGGCTCATTCTAAGCTAACGAAAACACAATGATTCTTAGTTTCAGGTGATTACACTAATGAAAACGTAGTTAGGAATATTTTATTCCATTTTTGCAAATAGATACCCAAAAATGATACACACTGGCCCTTTAAAAAAGGGATCTGAAGATTTCTAGGACCAGCATGTGGCTGCATCTTCTCTCTCCCTCTTTCTTTCTCGCTTCTTGAATGCAGATTTCATTTCTTGTATTTCTACAATGACAGTGATACAATACAAGTTATTGCACAGGTGTATAAATATACACTATGTTATAATGGAAACATAACTAAAATGTTTTGTATGTAAATATGCCTTACCAAGCCTAATGGTAAAGTCCCCCTTTGTTGCTTCAGAGTCTGTGCACACCACTGCAAGCTATGTTAAGATACACGTGGGTAATCAATTACTGTTGTATACCTGCAACATAGTCTCCGAACCCCACTGTTGTCAGGGTGATAACGACAAAGTAGACCGACTCCAGCAGAGTCCACTCCTCCACCTTTTGGAAAACCAGGATAGGCACAGCGACAAAGAGCAGGCAACCCAGCAGGATGGACAGGACGGCTGAGATCACCCGCACAATGGTTGGACTAACATGCCATTTCTGTCAGCAGGTTGGAACAACACAGTGGCATGAGACAAATAGAAGGAAGTACATGAGCAGTGCAAGCAAAGAAGACATTGGAAGCTCCGTTAAGGGTCTGACCCGGAAGAGAGTCTCTATTTTGGCAACAGCTTTCCTCAGCCAGGTACCCAGATGGTCTCCGACTCCAGCGAGCAGAATACCAAACATCGGGATTCCCACCAGGGCGTAGAAAATGCAGAACAGCTGCCCTCCTTCTGTCTTGGGAGAGATGTTTCCAAAACCTGAACATGTGGGGTGAGAGGTGGAAGATTAGTCGATTTGAGGACACAAAATGTAAAAAAATGTAACTGATTTCGCTCACAAGTAGCCTATTTGATCAGAATTAATGTTTGCGGCCTTACTGCTCCTATTGGACACCCACCAATGGTTGTGATGATAGTCCCTGAGAAAAAAAAAGCACTGGCCAGATCCCATTGGCTGACGAAGGTGAAGTTGCTGTTAGGATCCACACCTGCACCGACAGCCTCCACTACTTCCTGGGATGGTAAAGTAGAAAAGAGAAGAGTTTGAAACAGTTCCGCAATTCATATTTAATCGGATAGTAAAAAGAGGGGTGAGCCAAAATCGTACAAACTCAATTAGCCCACGCGATTCATTTCAGACATGTTGAAAGTTCCAAAGGCACAAACATGAGTGTGAGTTTCTTTTTATTATCCAATTAAATAGTCCAGTACTGTTGGCAATGCTGTAGAAAATGCATTGTCATGGCATCAGCAGCAGGAAGTCAGTGACAAAGAAGTGACTGGTGATGTACGACTGTGACGGCTCCATTCTGTCCCGAGTGCATCGAACCAGTGCGAGCACAGATTCCTGATCTAATTATCTGTTTTCTGTCTGTTGGTGCTTGAAGACATTTGTTAACTCTGAATTTAAAGCTGACTATGATGAAGTTGTGATTGAATATGGTCTCTGCGGACATTATTACTTATAGTAAATTAGAAGTTTACAATCACAGAGGCAGGGCTGTGTCTGGTTCATACTGAAAATTGATTGATTTCTATTGTTTTACGATTCCAACTGAGCTTTCACTTGAATTGCTAAAGCTCCTAAAAGGGTAAACATGGGCAATATTTGCCAAACTAACACAGCACATATTGAGTGGTGAAATTAGCTGAACTTCACTAAACCTGACCTTACTTTAGTAGAGTTGAGAACAGATTGTAGTAGGAAGGAACTTATCTATTGAGGACCTGTTGAAACATCAGCTGACGTTGTTGCAGTGAAACCTGACCCACGGTGCTTGTTGACCAGAACAACGTCTGAAGAATTGCTTTGTGACAACTGCCATGGTTCACTCATTAACAGGATGACTTCCATTTGTTTTTCTGACAGCACCTAACAATAGATACAATAAATGTTGATTATATTAGTGCATTTCTATTACTACAATAATGTGGAAAACTGTTTTAGAAAACCACCAGATGTTTTGTATTAAGTGATTATCTGTATTAAATAATTTAGGAAATAATTTGAACTCAACCTATAAAGATATTATTTAGCCATTTTTAAACACTTTTTACGGGAGTTTATCTATATTTTAGATTATAGAATTATTTAAAAATGCCCTTTTTCCATTTATCTACGTATATATCAAAGCTGTGCATGCTACCTACCTAGCTGGCCTAACATTAGCTGGTTAACTCAGAGTTACCTCTGCAGCATCTAAATGTTCTTCATAGAAAGACAAACAACTCTGTAAAGAGAAAAAAGACAGAATCTTTCTCCGTGGTAGCTCATTCGCTCTGGCCAACGGAAGCTAGCCAACACTGCTAACACTAGTAACTGCTAACAGTTAGCTCGTTAGCCGGCAAGGTTGGTAGCATTAACAGCCTTGGTAAGCTAATGCTAAGGCTTAAAAAAGCTAAAGAGGTTTAGTTTGTGTACTGTGTTTATTTACAGCTGCAGCATTGCTATTGATCTAGCTGACCGGAGGGAATTGGCTATGATTGGCTGAAAGGTGGTGACTGTTGACAACAACACAATCATGAAACGTGACATGATAAAATAAAATGCGTCATTATCAAAAGGGCTTTTTGAAATAACAATGTCTATAATTAAATAATAATTAACTATAAAATTCAGTTATCATGAAAATAATTGATGACAAATCATTTCATAACAATGATTTCTTCAATTATTACACAAATTATTGTTTCATTTATGTATTTTAAACTATATTTTTTCTATTTGCTTAATATTGAACACTTTGGGGTTCCATATTAATCATTCATTCCATTCTAATACTATGAACTATGATAAATTATCCTTCCTGTCTTTTCATGTAATCAGTAAACAGGATGCACCGAAGGAGCACTCCAGATCTCTTATCATCGTCCTTTAAATAATCAAAAACAAAATGTGACTACCTCGTTTACATCTGTCATGTCCGTCAGTCCCTTCAGTAACCTTTTTGCAAATGTCAATGACTAAAACAGTGATATACAACTTTCATTCTGGAACAATGATAAACATCTCAGAATCCCAGAACGGTTGCCAACATGGCAACCTTCATGCACTTGCACATGCATACTAGAGCTGACCCATCATTACATAGCTGCTCAGACCACACCTGTTATCCACAACTCCAAATGCCACACATATCTGAAGGGTCACCCTGAAGGTCCACAAAAGTGATTCAGTGCGATAAGTTGCATTGTCAAACTCAAGCGAGTTCCAAGTGAATATAAAATGTGAAGCAGTCAGGCCAAAATGCATTTTTAGCGAGATGTGGGCCGTCTCGATTCAGAACCTGTTGTAGAGGTGGATGACCAATCGTGAGTGAGAGGGGAAAAGTACACACAAAAAAAATCTCACCACAATAATAAATAATAATAAAGAACATATTCCATAAAATGATCAGCCACAATTTATTTTCAAATATCAGTTTGAATCTCAGCTTTTTTTAGTACAAAATTAACTAAAAAGTCATCTATAAATCTACCGCTGAACTATGCGGTAGGAAGTAAATACTGAGGCCTTATTGTCGGTCACAAGTTGTGTTTATAATACTTTTCAGTGGCTATACCAACCTGGGGGTGAGGACCCCCAAACGGCTCCCAAATTAAATCCATGTTGTCATGAGACATGTCAGGAGAAGAACTGCTGTACCTCTATAAGGCTCTGTAGGTCGTCTGGGCCCATGCAGGTAAAGTTCAACAAGAAGTCCCGGCGTATGTCCAGCAGCTGCATGTGCTTGCCCTCCTCTCGCGGAGCCTCCAAGGAGCGGAACACCACAGCTCCCAGCACCAAGTAGAGAAGCACCCCCGTGAGGATGCCGAGCAGGGTGGAGCAGCGCATGGCTCTACTCAGTCCGAACGCAGGCTGCTGTTTCCCTTTGCCAGCCTCTGCGCTGGTGTGGCCTGGATCCCAGCTGCTGCAGCTGAAACATCACCAACCACACGAACACAAGGGGTTTTCAAACTGACAACCCAGGCTGTTTACACACCTGCGCATGAGGCATTTAATGGACTCGGGCCACACCACGCTGCTGACACACAGTCAACGAAACATCCTTGATAAAACGCCAGTCATCTGACCTGCCTGAGACTTTGAACAGATTCGACTGCACTCCTACAGAAACATACAGTATATGATCCATGTCATCAACACACAGACAGATAATAGTTGACCTTACCTATCAATCCGCCTTAGTTGCCCACGCCTTCGTCTTTTCCAGTCCTTGTCACCAGGCCTGAGGATGGAGTCCCTGGACCCGTAACCAGTGGGGAGCCCGTCCACCTCACACTCCGAAGGAGGGGACACTAGATAGAAGCAGAGGCACGTATTCCCAAGTGCTATTTTAGCATTCACAGAATTTACGTCAATGATTTTGAATAAGAGAAGAACAGCTTTACGTTCACTTTCTCATAAAAGGTGTCAGTAGTGAGGATAATCCTCAGAGACAGGTAACAACAAGGGGAAGCTGTCAGGCGTGGCAGTGCTCAGGTTCTGGTAACAAAGCCACCTGTTGTTGTCTTTTCTTGATGGTTACACATTATCTGTATCTTCTAATCATATGCACACTGTGCGCCTTTCAATTGTGATGAGAGACGGTTCAGCTTTGTTATATTCCAGCCACAGCTTTGTGAAATCAGGGTGGAGAAAACAATTATAGAAGAAGATGTATTTCCTTTCGGTGATGCAGATCAGCAGTAGCAGAAGAAATACAAAGTGCAGGTACCTCCAAATACATCAGATGTGAACTTCAGAGATTGGTGATGTTGGTCATCGCCGGCTCAAGCCAAGACGCATTCTCATTTAAAACTGAAACTGGAGCCAAGTCTCTGCACTCTGATGCATCTTTGCCATGTTAAAGCGATGGAGTCGAGAAACTAACAGATGTGTCCGACACTCCCCTTTGTCCCCAAATTTCGCCGGAAATGATTTAAGATTTTTTATCATTTGGACCAGTAAACCTGCCATTTCCAATTTAATCTGCAACACTGGACTGCAAGCCAGAACAATACAACCAGCTCCCGTCTTCTTAAGTTCGGTGGCTGCAGCACTTTAGTCAGCAGATCTGATGAAATTAAAGCAATAAACTGTGACAGCAAAATATACACTTGAAGCATTTTTTGGCCCAACAACACAGTTAAAAACAGCAGTTATCTGCTGCACACCTACCGCAGAATGCAACACAGAGAGCCAGACAGGTTACACACCACTAGACAAAAGGAAATTGTAATACGGCTTGCATTAAGTGCCAACTGTGCTGCTGCTGTAACCAAGACATAGCCGTATAGTGATCCCATTTTATTCCCACTTAAGGTCCCTCCTGGTCCGTAAAAATGTATGGCACCGACCGACCCGCCGGAGATTCCCGCCCATGTGTGCTTACCTCAAAATGAAGGATCATAAGAATCCAGAGTACCAGTCGCCCCATGCATGGTGTTTCATGAGTTCAGGCAGCCGCATACAGCGAGGTGTATGTGTGTGTGTGTGAGCATGAGTGTGTGTGGGTGTGGGTGTGAGTGGGGAGGGATGCTGCTGCTGAGCACGAAAGAGAGGAAAAAGATACTCGATCAAACTGACTTTATATAGAGTGTGAGAGAGTGAGTTAAAGAGAGAGGAGGGGGGGGGCAGCACAGATGATGATGGAGTTTTGGATCTATTCAGTTTCTTCAGACTTCAGTTAGATCAGTTTTTTTATACAGTACGTAAAGATATCATTATATAAAGACATGAACACATAATGCAGCTTCATTCGCTTCAGTCTGTACGTGGAGTTCTTCATATTCCAGAGTTTTACTCCAGTGAGTTAAACTGAATGTCCAATGCAGTCGTGGCTGTAGTCATATCAATACCTCTGTGGGATCAATGTTTGAGATTCATTGAGATCTGACTGCCGACTCTGCAGGGGGAAGCCAAGCGCAGCCACCCTTCACTCTGCTCTCAATGTCCCATCTTCAACACAAGCTGCTTGACAGAACTGCTGCTGCTCTCTTTCTTTCTGTGCGTGTGTGTGTGTGTGTGTGTGTGTGTGCATGTGTGTGTGTGTGTGTGTTTACAGGGGCGGAGATGAGGTTTCTCAGGCAGATATTCCTATGTTCCTCCAGATCTGTAAGGTTATTATTGTAGAATGCCTAACAATACCAGGCAAAAAGGACTGCTGATAGCCTTTCAGCTAACTCGGGTACATTTACATTTGTTCGAATTATGCACATTGTCCCTTTTCAAATAAACAATAACTCCTGGTTACTATTAAATGTAATAGTCAGCCTAGTCATACATTAATATAGTTTGAATAACTGCAGGGATTTTTAAACTGCAGGGATTTTTCTTCCCGTAGTTTAAAAAAAAGACTTCAAGTTTCAGCATAATATAACAAAATAAAGATGCTTCTTCGAGGCTTTTCTTTTGCACAGCAGCGCTTTGAGCGAAATGCGACTATCAGCATGCTAGCATGCTCACAATAACAATGCTAACATGCTGATGCAAAGGATGCATACTGCAAACCATGTTCCCCATCTTAGTTAAACGTGTTAGCATGCTAACATTTGCTAATGGCTAATAATAAAAAGTGCTTGTTGCAAATGTTCTTCATACCTTTGCCACTGCAACTAAACAGCTGACCACAAAATATTGGGAATATATGTTCTCCAATGACAAGTAAAAACTATCTTCATGTAAGCTATACGACTAAATATATCATATATATCATGTATAATGTTGCTTTACTGTATATATATTTGCAGTATTTGCTGTTATTTTACTGTACCTTCACTGAACTGGCCTAAATAAACTACTATCACCTTCATAAGAAGGCTCGTACAAGAGAAAATGTAGGATAAATGTTGTCTCTTGTCTTTTGAAAGAGAGACAAATGGGACGGCACAGACGGAAAACTAAGATCACAAAGCCAAGTTGGCAAATTCCCAAGAATCCAGTGTTGCTCAGTCAGGGCCGGCCGTATGGAGCTAAAATGTATTACTCAGTTAAAATAAGCATTTTAAAGGAAAACACAAATGGGAATTTGATGCTGAGTAGCTCGCCACATCGGTTTAATCGAACATAAAAAAAGAACTTGTTTGATTTTAAATGGCAAATTTTGTGGATGAGGCTTTTGTGCGTAGCCTCCTGACTGAATCGATGTTGTTGCTCCTGACCACAAAGGAAGTGAGGAGTCATATCGAGAGCTGCTGGGACGATGGTGATCAATCAATCATCAGTCGAACAATCCCAGACATCTCCTTTCAATACAATTCATCCCAATCAGGAGCGGAAAGTAACTTTCTGCCAGCAACTTCAGCAGAGCTGCCAGACTGTAAAGGGCAAAGTGTGCCAGGACAATATATCAGGCTAAGAGGGGTGGACAGAGTTATTGTTCAGACAGGAACTGGGACTTCAAATTGGATGTATTACAAGTAACAGTACAAGGGTCAGTGCAAAATGATTTAACATGGCATCCAGACAGTAACCATCTACATCAACGTGTTATTTATTTAAAAGTGAACATGCAATTCAATTTCAGCTAATATAACATATCAAAAGCTATTGTGACCTGTTGTTCGTGCAGCATCTTTATATTGTGGTTATTCATTTTTAAGCATGATTCAGTGAGCAAATTCATCCAAAGTGGATACCATGAATATTTATTTTTATTAAAGAAATTAAAATGTTCTGTCGACCGGAGATACAGCTGTTCCCATATTTGTTACTCATAACTAAAGCCTATAGGGAAATAGGGGGGGGGGGGGCAGTTTCAGGGACTGACAGTCAGTTGCACACCATGGCATAATGTTGCTTTATTGATCAGCTGATCAGCACATCTGCAGATCTATCACATCCAGATGAAATGAAATATTTGACACGCCCTCCCAAGCAACATGAGGTTACTTTACTCTTTACAGGAACAGAAAGGGGTGGGACTTCATGTGATGTAAAATATGGATAAATGCATTTTGATATGTTAAAGAATACTGAGGATTTGTTTACACATTTAAGCAAGGAAGACACTGATGTACAATCTACACTTAAACAGATTATTAAACAGATGATCTCTTATCAGTAATTGGTGATTGAGCTAGCACATTGTAGTATTTCTGTTATGACAAGCAGACACGGGTACATTGCCGTAGTATTAGAGCAATACACTAGACAAGTACACTATGTCATAATGTATTTACATGCATCTGTCAAATGAGTACATCTTATTCATAATGAGATCAAACTTTACACATCGTTCTCCGTATTTCCCTGCAAATACTTTATACTCGGTTTCTACTTGCTAAGTTGCGGAATTGGATTTATTCCATGCACTCTCCCAATAAAGTGTAAAATACATTTAGCTCCTTCAATTCAATCTGTGTGAGAGCTGCTGTCTCTCTGTTCTTACCAAAACTGAACGCAGTCCAACCCCCTTTGAAACAGGTGTCTTATTGCTGAGGCTATACATACATCCTGACACATTGCAGAATGAGGAAGGAATAAAGGAGGGATTCTTCATAAATGCAGTGATCAATGTTAATCAGAGAGCTCTGTGGAACGCACGGGGAGACAATTCGACAACCGTGGCAGTTTTTGCATTGCTCACACCCGTTCCCAGCCCCCCCCTCCACTCCTCTGATTCTTCATCGACAGAAAAGTAGTTAACATTTCGATAAAACAAAGACCACTTTTTATTTCAGGGCATGCTGATATCAAAAATGCATATAATTGGACCTCTACATTACCTCCATATTCACCACATAAAAGATCTACCTTGACATTCATCAAACTCCTGGTCACACATGCAAAGAAAGAGACAATCTGAAAATGCTTACTTCTAGTAGGTCGATGGCTTCAATTCCAGGTGTCCTGTTAATGTGATGTATGATTGAGCTGGCAGTGTAAAGGTAAATGAATTAACATCCAGCCGTTGGAGGGGAATAAAACAGAGACAGCTTTTGGAAAGAGATCTGATGAGGGATGACCATCTGAGAGGTATAGCTACACTTGAATAACAGACTCAAATTGATTGACCTGCTGATAAATGTGCTCTCAATTACAAGTAAAGGAGGGTGGTTGTAAACAAAAGAGAGTCAGGGAGGGAGGGGGCCGACAGAAACGCCTGGGGGAGGAGGACTACACGGCTATTATGAGCACTTTATTTTCAATTAAGCCTTCTTGCATCTACTGTAAGCTCACTTTCTGCCATTTCTGATGATGCAGGGACTTCTTGGACTGGAAATTGATTGGTTAGCAAACGTCTGCAACTTTGCTTATTTAACGGGAGATGCACTTTCGACGTACATAAGACGACAAAACGTCAGAAAATTATATATTTTTTACTCTATAGGGCATTAGCACAAAAACAACCAGGTTTCTATGTTTGAAAGAAAGTAAGATAAGTTTTTGTAATTCTATTAGAACTTGTAGTAATTGCCTGTTCAGTTTTATATTATTAACCTCTACATTATTAATCCAGAAGCACATGGGACTGCTATTCAGGTTTTAAGCAGAATGCAGGAGCTGGTGTGATGTGTGGAGCTTGAGTTATATTTTCAAATTAACCGTTTTATTGAATATTGCATGTTTCATTTGAAGTCGTTTAACAATTGTGTTTTTATTTCATGATGTCCCATTTCAATGACACAAGTGCCCCGCCCCTTCATCTTTCAGCCAATCCCATGCCCCCAGCCATCCAGCAACAACTAAAAACTCTGTCCTTTTTTGTCCTTCACAGCGTGTTGTGTCTGGCAGCAAGCTGCTGCCTCTCGACTTTGACGCTGACTCTAATAATTCCAGGGAAAAAGCCAACGTAGCTAGTTAGCTGATAACGTGTAGATCGTTACCAAAATAAAAGGAAAACGTTGTCACCGTGTGTGTTTATTCACAGCAGCAGCTAAATCATTGATTCAGAATTAGTCGTTTTAGCCAACAGGTGCTTGTTGATGATATTTTTGTGGTTGGGGCAGATTTTGGTGTCATCAAGACATTATGGAAATGTTTGGTTAATTCCTAATTTATTCATTACTGTAGTATCTACTTAACATTGTTTGGGGCTCCATGGTAGTCTGGAATATAGTGGAATACAGTTCAAAACAAACCTTTGTGACGTAAAATAATTTATGCAAATGATCTGCAAGTATACATGAACAATAATAAGACAATGGCTTATGAATTAACTTTAAAAGATTTTAGGTTTAAACTCAACATTGAGCTACTATTTTCTATCATTATTTGATCATTTCAGGGCCGTTGACCGTCCCGTTAGTTTTCTTACTGCTCTTTCCAACCTTACGATGTCCATCTGTATGCAGACTTTAATGACATCACTTCCGAGCACATCTCTTCCCAACATCAACCTGAGCGGAGGTCTGATCGGCCTGTACAGCTGATGACACCTGTGAGGGTGTGCAGGGCCTTTAACGCATTAGACTGCAATATCTGAGAATCTCCAGGACTCTGTTACACCTAGACCATCGATCTGCCAAGGCATCTACTTTACACTTTGATCTAATCCCCCCCCCGGTCCTGAAAAGCTTTTAAACCTTGAGAGGAAGTCGGCTAACTAAGGAGGGTGTGAAGTAAGAAAGAGTGAGAGAAAAATCTTACGGGCTGAAGGGGGCATGAAGAAGAGTGCAGTCATCTGTCCACTGACGCCGTGTGAAGTTGATGAAGCAGAAGTGTCAGCAGCAGATGTAGAGCAACTTTATCATTTGTGTTTCCGCCAACCGGCAAATTCAAATCCTATATTCACTTTTCTTTCAGCCGTTTTTTTTAAATTTAGTATGAAGCGAGTTCATCGGGGCTTTCTTGCTGAATCAGCTGCCCGCTGCATGTGGAGACGCAACCGTTTGAGGCAAGAATGAACCAAAGCTCCACAGACCCGAGGGCAAGAGCAGTCAAGTTATAATTCTTTGTTGGTTAATCACTACAAGTGGCACCTCTCATATCGCACACATTCATATGATCCGTCCCAAGATATACATTTTTTTTTTTTGATCAGAGCAGCTTTTAAACTTGCTTACGTTTTTGCTGTGGAGACATTCAGAGACGCGCATCACACATCATCTTAGGTGCAGATTTCAAATGGGCCACCTTACACAGATAATAATGTGTGCATAATGACTAACACTGCATCGGCCAGAAGCACCTACATTTACTTGTGAACCCCAACAAGAAATACTGATGTGAATGGAATAAACTGAAGCTGCACAACAGGAAGGGAACAATGTGAGGACGACATGATTACATCGTAACATTTCACATTAACACCTGAGAACAGTTCTTCGCTCCAGACTTGGAGGTTAAACCCTTTACTGAAACCTGAATGAATGACAAATTAAAATAATGTTAGTTTCCTTTTATTGATAAGAGCAAGCCGAGTCTTTTACATCATTGACAATGAATTAAATGGTGTAGGAAACACATTGAAATATTCTCTGGTACGTTATTGCCCATCGGCCATTTTCTTCACATTTACACAAACTTCTCACAGACCGGCAAATGTGTCTGTGTGTGGAATTTCTACTTTTCCTCAATTATTGTGAAGCAAACAGCTATTCAACCTCCAGTTGTTTAGTGTTGGTTTATCCGTTTTGAAATTGATTTAAAAAGCACTGTCTTCGTTCCAACACTCCTCATGAAAATATTGTTACAAACTGAGATGCATTCATGTTTCTAAATTGTTTTAAAATTGTTCAATAGAAAAGTTCACTAACGGACTGATTGCACAATGGCTTTCAATCACTACAAAGCCTGAAAATGGTCTCTTGCTTTCTCGTGTTGAGATGCAGTGTTCTGTTCAGTAACAGCTCTTGAAATACATGTAAAAAAACAACACGGAGAACAGTTAACAATTAAGGGTTAATTAGATTCAAATGCTAAAAAACAAAACTGTGCTTTACTGCGGAATGGAAGAAAGAATGATCGATCCATTTGCACCACGTTTTAAAAATGAACACCGGAATAAATTACATTACATTATGTGGAATGCATAAATGATGTCTGGGAAAAATTATTGCAAATGTGATGCACAAGCAGCAACAAAAGGTTTCACAAATAGCCTTGCTGGTGAAGAGTTTCCTCGAGGAGAGTTTGCACTTTAAACTAACCCTGAAATGATCTGAGCTTACAGGTCGGCAGACGGATCAAAACAATTTCACCATGCTCTCTCTGGACTTGCCGACTCCGACCCACTTCACTGAAATGAGAGAGAGGGAGAAAGAAAAAAAAAAAAACAGACAAGGTGTGACTGGCAGGTTTGGCAAAGCGATTAACGATCTGGCTGCAGTCCAATCCGTTGATGTAAAGTGCCCGTTTACAAACCTGGCACTTGCAGGAAGTCCTCGATGAACCGAATGTAGCTTTGTGCATTCGGCGGAAGCTCCTCGAAGCTCCGAGCTGACTCGGTGCTGCAGCACCAGCCGGGCAACGTCTCGTAGTCCACCGACACCCGCGTCAACACGTCCATGTTTGCTACGACAGAACGAGTGAAAGATGATGTTTTTGTTACCGATTCATCACATGTCTGGCCTAAACAACACACCGGACAGCTGTCCTTTAGTGGTATTTATGGTGCGTCACGGATACATTTTATCATCCGATAGGATGTGATGCTCCTAAGTGAGGGTGTTCCAGTCGGCCACCCATTGTTTGAGCTGCTATTTGTTCTAAACGGTTTGATCGGTGGTCTCTATAAAAGGTCGCTCAGAAGAGCCAACCAGATAGCACAAAGACGGGACTGTTGCGCCGTTATTCCGCCTCACTGTTCTGAATAAAGAGGCACGGAGACAGAATGGGGACATTGTTGCTTCGCCGCTAAGCCGGCGTTTACAGCAGTATTGCAGGATCTCTGTATTAAAAAAGGGGCGATGAGAGAGAGAGAGAGAGAGTCCCCCTCTTATCGATTAGTCCACTAATCTTTCATTTTGGTCTCAGTCGACTAAGATTTCTTAAGTCGTGTTTTAATGCTTCCTCCTGATGAATGACCCATTTCCAAGAAACTGATGAGCACATTTCTGGTAAACACAAGATTTAAAGTGGAACTGAGAACTTCAAGTTTTATAGATCTGTAAAGTAAATCATCTTATCTGTCGACAAAATCGTGCAAGTCGACTATGAGTTTCGGCAATATGCTGCATGTGTCATCTGCCAATACTTTCTCATCTCTTCATTTTAATACACAATAAATAGAAGGCTTCAAATGGGTCATGGGATCGAGCACATTTATTCCTAAATGTGTATCTCTCCAATTGTTGAAAGACTGCAGCACAATCGGAGAAACAGATCTTGATGAGGATAAGAGCCCCCTCAAACATTCAGCACCATAAAGATGATAAATATACGAGGGCAATCAGTGATGACATGCTGGTCGAGAGCAGCTGCAGTGTCACAGAGAGAAGTGGTTTCATCATCCTGTGGTTCATTAGCTTAACAATTCACTTTGCTTTGGCAGTGAAAGCAGAGAGTGACTGAAGATAAATGCACCCTCAAATCTGCTGAAAAATAGATTATCAGAAAAGCCCAAGATGTTGCATTTCCTGCTAGTAAAAGCTGACCCGTGTGAAATAAGACATTAAGGAGCATAAAAGCTGCGTTTGTTCACCTTTAACCAAAGGCTGAGTAGTCCTTCTGGAAACAATGATCCCTTTGAGAGTACAGGTCCTCTCCCGTGTTTACAGTCATCAAGTTTCTGCCGCTAAAATGTTTGTAGATCGATGGATAGTCTTAGAGGTGAATATTCTTCAATCAAAAGATCAGGACATCAAGATAAAACGTGACCATTTACACCTTGTATTGTAGTCAACAGTTGATGCATGACAAACACTGGTCACAGCTTCTCAAAAGTGTGAGGATTTGCTGCTTTACCACGTTTTATATCACTGATACCGTAACTTGTGAAGTGCGGTTTTCACTATTTTCAGGTCTTTCGATCAATTAATTTTACAAATAATTAACAGAAAACAAATATAATCATCACTTGCATCCCTACTTTTCATCAATCTCTGCCCCCTACTTTAAGGCAATGTTACATGTGAAATCCAACACTATGTTCTCTGTAACGGGCAGACAAAGAGCTGTTCTATAAATCATTGCGATGGTTATGACCTACCGGGGAAACTTGGTAGAGATTTTCCGTCGACTTTATAGGCCACGCCCACTTCAATCTCTGACAGCGTGTCCAAAATGTCCAGCTTGGTCAGGGCAATTCTGCAAGGAAAGAAATCACTCCGTTCAACTCTGATGGCGACGGACGGTTCAGAGTGCATCACAAAGCTTAACTGCAGCTCCAATAATTACATCAGCAGGTGGGCATAATATTCTGAAATGGCGAGACTTAAATGGCGAGACTTACGCAGAGAAGCCATTGACCATGTGGGCGTATCTGACCAAAATCAGGTCCAGCCAACCGCAACGCCTCTTTCTGCCCGTCGTCACGCCGAACTCTCTCCCTCTGGACTGCAACAGTTCTCCAGTCTCCTAAAATACAACAAACAAGGAGCACACTTTAAAAATCCACCAGATTAATCAGCAACTTTAAGGGCTACTGTGTTGATTCTGCTCGTTTTGACGCTTGTATTTGTGTCGGAACCGTTAGCTGCACATTCCCTTTCCCAGTAACGTCCTGCTTCAGCATGTGGAAGCTGCCCAGTACAACCACACTCCTCTACCTTTGACCGCTGAGCGTTAAGTGTCTTTTTAAAAAGCACAGCGCTGGCAGACCTTTTCCACAAAAGGTTCTCTCAGCAGTCTCCTAGATTTGAACTAACCCACGTCTGACCAGAAGTCTGCCCCTGAAGCCGACCTCCATACCCGAGGTCACTGGGGTCGTTTCGGCTCACGGGGGAATCTGCATTCACCCACTTTTTAAAACTACTGCTGATAAAGTGAGCTTCTCTTTAACAGTTACTGAACAAGGAGACACAAGTCGGATGATTTACTCCACCTCTCTGCAGCACCTTTCACCACGACACCGTGTGTCTTTGTTTAGTGATAAAATTGTTCTGCTTTCGTCTCTGGATGTTTTGAGAAATGTTTCACAATCGTTATTTCAGAATTAGGAGAATCCAATCCGTATGAAACTCATAAACCACGTCAACAAATTCAACTTACCCATTTGGAAAGATATCTTATCAAGTTAAAGGTCATATAATACTGTGATAATGATAGTGATAGTGAATGATAATTCACATTTGTTCTCTGAATGTTGGATAAACATCTAAAATACTAAAACGTTGCTGTTGTGAGTGTGGTAACCCGACAACAACATCACGTATCTCCTTCAACCCGGTGGAGTACGTTGGCTATTTTACAAATAGCCTGAGAAGAAGGCAAGATGAATTTGATCCTTTAATCACAACATCGACGTCTTCTGAGCCCGACGAGTCTAATCGGTAATTAGCTGGAGCTTTTTTATTGACGAGTCTTTTTTCAAATGCTTCTTTACTCACATTATCCTGCTCTGTTGGGAAAGCGCCAACGCCCACGCGGGTGGTGTAGGCTTTGACGACGCCGTACACTCGGCCAACGTACGACGGAGGCACGCCGAGACCAGTGCACACTCCGCCCACGGTGCAGTTAGAAGACGTCACGAAAGGATACGTGCCTGGACAGAGAAACCTCGGTTAACCCGAGGAGGCAAAACATCTGATCCGTCTTCATAATTAACTCCGTGAAAAAAAAAGAAAAAAAAAACCCAGTGGTGCTCACCAAAGTCGATATCCAGCAGAGCAGCATTGGCTCCCTCCACCAGGATCTTCTTACTGGGCCCAGTGAGAGCTTTGTGCATGAAGTACACCCCGTCCGTCACCAGGGGGCGCAGGCTCTCTGCATAGCCCTGAAAAACAGAGACCAACAAGTTACCAAAATAATGAAAACACTGAATTCTGTTCAGCAATAAATACAAATTACAACTGTCAATCATTCAAACACCACCCTATGGTGAACACCCTTATCATATGAAACTAGTAAATAAGCAATAATCTTGATTAATGCATCGTCCTGATTTCATCACAGCAGACATTTTAAATTGTCACAGTAGTACAAGCAGGTGTTAGTTAACAACATGAGTGATTTCTCTGTTCTTGTACGCACAATACCAAGACCTTGAAACTGAGGCAGCTAAATTCCGCAACCGTTCATTGTATTATTTACACATGTGCATTTCCCACTGACACGGGAAAAATGTCTCCCGTGAAAAAGGTCTATTGTCACAATAAGGTACTGCGACGTCGTTCCGTCAGTGTTCCTCACCTTCAGCTGCTTCAGTTCACCGTCGACGTCCAGGTCAAGTTTCGGGTACATCGTCAGGAAACGTTCGGCCAACATGCGAAACCTGCGAGGAGGACGGAGTTCAAGAGGCTGCTCACACACACGTTTGTAAAAGTTTACATGCATCCTCTTCTGGATGCAAATACTGCATCACGGACAGGCCATCGTGAATGCTTCCGTTGCATGTGCTGCCACCTGGTGGCAGGAGAAGATACAGACACTACACTTACTACGTCAATGCATTATGACACTCATAAATAGAACTATGGACACCCGAATGTCTATGAGGTTTTTGTTCAAATGTGATTTAAATGCTCTCAAAAATGTGTTCCTGAACACAAACTTGTATCTTGGGAAGATCCTCACATTTAGGGATTCAAATACAACTGCCCTTTAAAAAGAGATGCGTGTCACAGTGCTGCAACACCAAAACCTGAATAGACTTTAAATGCTGCTCACACAATGAAGTTGGAAATAATATATTTTAGACCACTGATGAGTTGGCAACATATAATGAGAATATGGAAATGAACGAAATTAGAAGAAAAAAAAACAAAACAGGAAAACTTACTTGTCCTGAAAAACCTTAAAATCGGAGACAAGGTCACAGACTCGCAGACCGTTGCGAGCAGCTTTGGAGGAGTAGGCTGGACCGATTCCCTTTTTAGTGGTTCCCAAACTGAAGAACAAGTAAAAACGCAACATGAACAACCACAACAACCCATTTGTTTAATAGAATAGAATCCCTCCAGCTTAAGTATTAAATATAAACCTCACCAGACTAACAGATATACAGTATTTAAACTAATTATAGTAGATTTACTTTTTCCCTTCTTGTTGCTGCCGCTGCTGCTCCTGGATTCCATCAACAGCTTGATGGAAGTTGAACACTAGAGGCGGATAGAGGGGATTGTCAATAAGAGGACAGTACTAACTAAGAAATTTGAATGAGGAACCGCTTACTCACCAAGGTGGGCACGATCAGAAATCTTTAATCTCTCCTCCCATCCTTCTAATCCTGCACACAATACAACAAACCCCACATTACATGTTGGCTATACGTCACCGATACCACAGTCATGACCCCATCCTGCACATTTCATTGCAGGTTTCCAGCCTATTAGGGGACGCATCTGGGTTTTTGAAGCCAATACCAATACTATGTTTAAAAACACTGTAAGTTTGATGACATATTTAGAAACCTTTACCTTTGCCTTTCTGCAGGTTCTTCTGAGCTTCCTCAAACAGACCTGGTAGGTGTATCACCACTCCGTTGCCTGTGACGAACAAAAAGAAACTTATACAAACCGTGTGAGAAGCCGTGCACCATTGCTTAAAGACATTTCTTATGTGGCTCTCGTTTCTTCCTGAGGTTTCATTTATATAAAACGCAAGCTATCTCTTAACAATGATTTTAACAACAGTTCCTTTAATGGTTCCTCTTCCCATGTGTTCATAGTACTAGAAACAGAACATCTACCAAAAATAGGAAATGCTTAATCAAGAGAACACCAAGTCTCATGTGCAGTACATGTTGATCGTTATCTATATGTACCCATGCATGCTCTTTGTTCAGCTCGGTGTCACTTCAAGACCCAACAACTGATACGGCTGTCTGCGGTGCTTCTGAAGTATATACTCATTTTATTGCTTTATTAGGATCTTTATCTTTCCGCCAACTTCAAAAATGAAAACACAAAAGGATCGCCTCGTACCAATGAAGGAGACAGCCTTCTTGTTGAGCACTCCGCTGGGCAGCAGGTGGAAGTCGTACTCCACTTTGTCCACGACCACCGTGTGACCCGCATTGTTGCCTCCCTGCAAACAGCACAAACATGGGGATCAGCCACTGAAGGAGAGCAAGCACCAGTACCCATCAACCCAGAGGACGGTGAACGTTGCCTGCGTGTTTCATTGAGAACAGGCTCTAGTTGGCTGTGGTAAGCTACATGCTAATATTTAAAGCAACACATTCCTGCTGAATGTCACTGGGTTGAAAGCGAACAGCTGGACAACAACGTGCGCTCAATGCCTTACATAACACACAGTGACGATTATCAATACGTGGAGGTCATGTGCTGGACTCAAAACACATTTTGCTACCAACACAGCAGATATACATTTATAGAAGAAGATGAACAGGCATGTAGTTCTCACTAGCATATACTTAGCACTTCTACATCCGGGAGGTCAGACACGGTTGTTGACGTCGGAACCACTTCATTAATATGTAACGGATGCTAGTGGGGGACGGTTTTCACCAAACAACCCGTGTTACGATTAGCGGACGTTTCAATAACACCGCCATAGTACGACGCGGTCGGTTTGAATGTTACTTGTGAACGTTAAATCGAGCGTGTAGCTTTGTACCTGGCACCTGCATACAATATCCGCATCCATTGCGAGCAAGTCCACAACTTTCCCCTTGCCCTCGTCGCCCCACTGCGCTCCGAGCACGACGGTCACTTTGTTCTGAGGCTCCTTCGGGACCCGGAGAGCAGACTGAGAGAGGGTTTCCCGCGGCCGCTTCACGACCGGTTCCCCGTTCAGGGAGACGGTCTCTAGTCCGTTTACGTTATCCATGGTGCTGTCGGATGCCATGCTGCTGTCCTCCTGCACACCGGAATATCGTTTTACCGCGTTTCTCTGCGTCACGGGAAGTGGTCGTCCGTCGCTTCGCCACTAGGTGGCAGTGTTTCTCTTTATATCCTTTGTTCTGAGTATTAAAATACTGTACATTCATTTAGCGCACAGTTATCATTATTCATTCTAACTAACTGTATATATAATCAATTAACTGACACACATACATTATATGTAACTCTGTGTCTTTGTTTGTTTAGCTTATGATTATTAAATTAAAGACCTCCGTTGATGAGAAGTCACAATTCACGAAGAGTACAGAAATACAATGTGATTAACTCCACTCCACTTCCGCGTTCGCTTTTATCATCGGACGGATTGAACGTGCCCGGAAGTGATATTCTGCTGTTTGCTTTTAACAGCTCAAATCTAATGCTTTATCCGTACTAGGCAAAAAAAAGCAACTGCCTTTGTTAACCATGTTTTGAGCAGTTTGTTGTTATTTGATACATTTGATTGGTAATGTGCACAATTTAAGGCACATCATTATTTAAAATGAATTCGAGCATTACTAGCATAGCCTCGAGGCAGTAATACAGTCCCGGTTGAGGTCCTGTTTAAACATGTAGTCTTAAAGAGTAACTCCACACTGACTTCAGTGACCATAATGAGTTTGAAATTTTAGGTCTGGAGTCTTTGCTGAACACACCCAACTCTGATTCAATACAGCAATGTGTCCATCAGGCTGCCAGGTGGCAGCAAAGGCAGCTGCTTCATATTGTGTGTACACTCCTGGTGCATATTCCAATGCAAATTTGCATTTAATAACACAGCAAACAAGGTGACCCAGAGTGCACCTGTGGCCAAGTCATATTCCAGCAGCACATGGCTGCTGGTTGGTTTTCTGGACCAAAACTCCCTTCCTTCGGTTGTGTTTTTGTAGTAATTGTGTGGTCCCATTAGAGCGTGAGCTCAATGATTTGTATATTTGTTGTCATTTTGTGGTAATGTATTCAACTAAATCATATGACCTTTACTAAAGATAAATATTACTCATTACCATGGGGGTCCGTGCACACAGACTTTATTAAATAACTGTAGCTGATTGTCTTCCAACTCATAATTCATTGAAGGGGATATTCAGAGTGGAGGACTGTACTGGTAACTCAAGTCAGCATACTGGACTAGTTAGCCCTTCAGTACTTCCACATGGTGACAGTTTGAGGTAAATATATATATAAATATTATTTTATCTTATTATAAGGAAAAAACGTGTTGTCGCAGAAGTATATAGCAGCCACCTCTGGTTCCCGATCGGGAAAACGCAGGTTGCTCTGTCAGCACTTTTGCCGTTGCTTGCGCCGTGAGCACCGTTAGCAGCTAGCGGTCAGCTCAGCCGTTGCCATGTTAAGAGCTGTGTGGAGGCAACAGACAACAGACTGAATTTGGTATTGAGCACCTTTAGATGATTTTGTAAAGACACTAGTTTTGGATTTCAACTAAAGGCACTCTAAATCAAGTATTTAGTTAATTTCCATGTTGACAAATTGTAATTTAATTTTTTTTTTACAACATGTTTAATGTGTAAATAAAACTAATTATTTAGAGATTGGATGCCCCAAAAGGTCAAGTAGACTGCATCAACTTGTCTGTGACTATTATATTATTATATCATTATATTATTATTATAGTACATCATAATTATGTTTGCTTAACGCATCTCAATCCTTATAAAATAATTTTGAGTTGCCTAAATAAAAGTGACTTGGCAACAAATAATAATCAGAGCAACAGAGGACACATGACAGACTCACCCATTCATAAAGTAACACGTTCAGACTTTATTCATTGTAAAACATGCTCAAAAAACAATTGTTATTCACGTAAAAGCCACAAGAGACACCGTTGGCTTCTTGAGTTAACCATGAAACCCAAAACATGTTGTTTATACATTCTGTAGGCATTCAGAGGGACAAACACAGTAGTGGCCTACAGAACTGACAGGCAGATGTTACAACCACTGGCTGTCAATTCATAGGTCATCGCCTTGCGTCCCATCGCTCTTCAGCTACACTTGAAACTAAAAACCTGTCAGGAAGAGCTCAGGCTCGGCGTTGCGTTCGGCGGCTCTCTGCAGGTAACAGCACTTCCACTGGAACAGACACAGCTTCCACATGGAGTTGCTGTTACATCCAGAAGAGCACCAGAAGACTCCCCCGCTGACAGCAAACCGCATCCGCATCAGTTGTTCTCCAAGTCGGTCACGTCTGCAGATGGACAAACCGACAATGACACTTCCAGTGTTGGCCACCGGCGTGGAAAATACCTGAGATGAAAGCGAGAGAGAAAGAGAGAGAGAGAGAGAGAGGGGAGAAAAGGAGCAGGAGAGAGCACCGAGGTTGACTTAGGATTTGGACTTGGAGGCAGTTGCTTTAGTACGAGAGGAGTCTCCCCTTGCGAGTGACTTTGACCCGGCAATTTCCTCCACCCAGTTTTATTGCCTCAAGTAGACTGCATCATTGCTCACACTCTTCCAACAGCACGGCCAAAGGGCCAAGGCCTGTATAGATAACACAGATTTTATGGTTGCTGTCAACATGAGGGCTCTTTTCAATATGTGAATATCTGGGTGTGTCTGACCTATGTACCTGCCGGCCCTGCATTTCCTGCTTCCACTGACGTTCGTCCTCATGATTACTAAAAGATTGGCCTCATAGTTTTCCAATGTGCAATCAGTTTGAGCCTAATCGAGTTATTTTTCAAATCCTGTGAGGCATTTCGTTCTCGTTCAACCTGCCTTGCTCAGCTACAGAGCGATATCTCTGTAGACTTTGCCTCGCAATAAAACTCTGCACAGGAAGAACAAAAAACAGAACAATAAAGCAATTAAATGATTAGCATCTCTGTTAGACCATCTCTGCTTTTACTTTTTAGTCTGTTGAATAGACCAATCAGACGGCATCCATCGGCCCTCCAAAGACAGAAACATTGACATGAATTCAAAAGATACAACTATTACACCTACTTTGTTTTATTTAATTTTTCTCATTTAAAAAAAAAAAGCAAAAAGAAAGAAGCACTAAGTCAAGATCTTCAGCAAATTGAAGTAGACAGACTTTGTCTCAAAATACATAATGTATCCTGAAACATAGAGCCATGTCGATGTAGTAATATGCATAATATTTCTCGTTCAGCACTTACTTTTGTCAGGTGTTCTTATGATAGAAAATAATTGGATTTGTCGTCGTACTTTGTTTTAATGTTGGACATTTCACACACGATTCAGTTTGGGGTAAGAGCTGCACTCACCTCTAGATGCGTGGCCCCGTCCGGAGGCTTTCGCGGCAGAACGAGGCCAAAGGTTTCAAGAGCCGCAGGGCGTCAAGATACAGGGGTGCCGGGGGGGGGCAGAAAGAGGCGGGAAATGCAGAGAAGAAGAAACAGAGCAGACAAGACCAAGACAGGTGGAGACACAGAGGGAGATGCTGACAGTGAAACAGCTGCCGGGAGCGTTTCGATGCCAATGTCAGCAAAGACGGCGAAGCAATGGCAGCGAGGCCGAGCAGCCAGTTTAAGGGATCAGGAGTTGGTGGACGGTTAATTATTACACCTGCAGTCAATATTTAACAGGCCCAGCGCCCTGCCCCTCAGTCCAACATCCTGATTCCACACTGACTGACACAGAGGGTAGGGCCAGCAGCAAGCACATCTCTTTTGTCCCCGGCACAAAATGTGTATTCAAGGCCTGCAGACAAAAAAACCCAGTGCACTGCAATATCAGCGTGAACTACCATGTCATAACTCACAGGATTTCTTTCCACATTCATTTATATTTATAATGCGAAAGGAACGGCCTTCCCTTATCAACCGTAAAGGTCGAGGCAAAATGAGTTGGACTGTACTCCCTCTGCTTTTTGTGCTTCGCTTCTTTGAAATGCAGCACGACGCAAGCTACAAAATGGCGTACTGTAGTATCAGCACGTGAGCCCAGTCGACAATTACCGATGCATTACTCACACACACACACACACACACACACACACACACACACACGTACGCACAGTTACCGGAACGAGCAGATGTGAAACTCAGGGCTGCTGAAGGAGGAGGAGGAGGGAGCAGAGAGTAATTTGTGAGGCATACAAAGTATTAAAAACGTCACAAATAATCATATTAAGTATACAGAGAGCAACCACAAAAAAACCCACTCTTATATCATTTAACATTTGAAGTTATGGTATGATAAACCCTGAATGATAAACTCTACCAGATGTGTAATTCTTTAACTTTAGGGCACTGTAAAAGTGACTCATGACACAAACTACTGGTAATAAACTGTATCTCTTCCCGTCAGAGTGTTGTATTTTATTTTATATCGCTATGTAACCTGAATTTCTTTATCTGACTCCTCTCTAACATTAATATTATTTTATCATACTTCCTATCTGATCTGTCGGAGGAGTGCCTGAAGGATGAAGGAGATGTTATCTGACCTAACGGGGGCAAAAGCTACATTAACAGAGTCATAATGAAACAGAATGTATATTAGCAGGTCAGGCTGCTGTCCTCATGTAGGTAGGCGAGGCATTTCCTCATGAGAGGCACAGTTTTAAGGTCTTCACTATGCGACTGCACCACAAACTCCTTAAATGTCGTTAAAGATATTTAATATCTAGTGAGATATCGACATTTTCTAGCATTTCCTGCACGTTCTGCCTCCTCCTTTATTCATATACTCGGGCTATCTTATCTCAGAAGTTCAAGTGGTTGGTATGCCCGAGTGCAGAGTCCAGTGTCTCCAAGAGAGAGAATATGTGCACAGCATTAATCTGTCACACAGATAAAGTCCTTTGTTGCTCCTTTGAATCTGCAGTGCCTATAAGGTCATCATCACTTTTACATCAGATAACGAAGTCAATCTGCTGAGCATGAAATTATCTCATGCACGAGGTCAACGTGCGTCGCTCGAATCTTATTGCACAAAGTTCTCCTTTCAGAAATGATTGACTCCATTATGCATTATGTTCTTCTCTTAATGGGCGTAATGTTCCGTTTTCTGAGTTCAATTTGCTAATTTTACTTTTCAGACGATCTCTAGCTGGAGTCTGTTTCTTTCATTTTGTTTTTTGTCCGTGAACTATGTTTAACATGTGCCACGTTTTGATAAGAGGCTCACTCACACGCGGCATGTTACACATTTCTTACTTTACTTTTTGCTCTTTGTATATTTTCCTCTCAGTTTTACTGGACTTTGGTGCTAAACTTCCCAAAGAAGCTGAGATCAAAAGAAAAAGCGCTAATGTTTGAGCGTGTTCAACGATATGACTGAGTCAAACATGTGACAAGACAATTAATTCCACTCTTCCAGCACGCTGTACTTCAAACACATTTCCACTTCACACAGCCAGGCCTCAGATAAACTAAAGCCTCTCACATCAAGAGCAAACATGACGTTTTTCTTTTACATTTCCGTTGACTGGATTGAATTGTTTAATATTAAGTTCAGAGAAATTCAGTAGTGTGACATCACATTTAAATAATCCACCTTCAGTGACTTCATTTTTTCCTGTCCAGACATGTTGGCCCTGTCAGTTCTGTTGTACATGACAACAGAACTTGCAGTATAAAAATAAGAAGACTGTTTTTGAAGGCCATGAAAACATATTAAAACTAATTTCAGTGAAATTCTAGCGTGCTTGGTCCCATGGATCAAGGCTATTGAATGAATATTGTGCAATACGTGTAACGTGTGGTTATAATGTGCTTTAGTAAACGTTACTTTGTTTGTCTGTTTCTTTTTTATTCACTTCTATGGAGGCACCTATGATGGTAAGACAATATGTTATGTGTCATATCATCTGTGCGGCAATTGAGTCAAAGACAAATTTCGCTAAGGGGCCAATAAAGATTAAATCAAATCGTGTCGTATCGAATCTAAATGAAGCGTGGGGCAAGGTCTTGAGCTTTGGGGTATATGGCACATGGTGCAGTGTAACTGGAGCTGCGATGCTGGAGTGTTCCTGCAAATGGCGCTAGAAATAAAGGGATGATGTCCGCTTCGGTCCTCTTTGGTTGCGCTCGGCCTGACAGAGTTTTTTGGGTGCGCTCGAATCAGTGAAGGGTCGCCGATATACAATACGGTTTCAACCTTCTTTGAGCCTTTTAGCCAAAAGTGCACCAAAATGTAGAAGTGCCTTGAACCTGCATTCTTTCTACTTGCCACGAGGGGGCGACTCCTCTGGTTGCAATTGTATAGAAGTCTATGAGAAAATAACTTTACTTCTCAGTAAACACTGTGGACATGAGTTTATGGTCTCAGTCGCTGTAGCTTCAAGTCCTCTTCAATATCGCATGATGTTCATTTCGTAAACTACGGTCATTTACAGATCTCTTCCACAGCGGCGTCCGGTCTGGGAGCTGTTTTCCATGTTTTCATCCCACAACTTTTACCCGTTCACCGGGCTTTTTCAGTTCATAAAAGTTCATCGTAACATTTTGGTTGCAATGTCTTAATCAGTGTTTCGTTGTACTTAGCTCCACCCTCTCTTGTCATTCTGACGCATGACATCTCCTTTTTTTGATTCCTCTAGCCACGGATATGGAGGATTGCAGGAATCTCCAGGTAGTCTTATCTGAATTGTACACACAAAAGTCTAACTTTTTATTGATTCATGCGCCTCTGAGAAACTTTCATTGGAATGAATGGGATACCGTCTCCAACGTTACAACAGTTCTCTTTAATACATCCATGAAAGACTTCTTGTCTTATTGCTTTGCAGGGGGCGGAGCTCAGTCGGAAAAAGGTGATCTCACATACCTCTTTTGCACCAATCAGGATTTAGCAATATTTAAATCAAAACCGATGACTGTTGGCTTGTTTGATCAAGCCGCACCCGCACATTCCTGATGACATAGATCAGTGTTATAATACCTTAAAATGAGGTTCAACGATTTTCAGAGGCTTTAAAATATCTTCATCAGGCCTTCATCACGGACCGACAGTATTTGTGTCCCCCCCATTTTGGATTCACACCATATCTGTCCGTCAGTGTTCAGCCTTCACTGGAGTCCCTGAAACTATTGAACCATTGAACTATTCTCTCTCTCTTTCAGCAGCTCATTTAATCTTTCAACTCATTGTTTTCCATTGTGGCCCTCAGTGAACACGAGAGACATTAAGATGAAGATCATGTTATGAAGATATAGAAGCAAGTGGCGTTGCCAAGCTAACCGGCTAAAGTGCTTTAGCAGTATTAAAAAACCTAAAATTAATAAATGATCTATTTACACATAATCCAGATTTTCCATTGGAGCTAATTTAATTTGATTGCATATGTCTGCAAATACAAGCACCCAAAACAAATACCCGCACTGCCCCCTACCTTAAAACCATGATACTGTAGATGTGAGCAGCCCAATGTCTAAAAACACAAACACCTGTCTGATACAGAGCGGCTCAGCAGCCCAATGATCTACAAGCTCATACACAGAGGTAGAAATACACTTTGGTATCGAAACATTCACATCGCGGATTGTGATTGGAGTATTCTTGACCTCTATCGCCTCATATCTGTGACCAGAATGCATTGCAACAGCAGCAGCAGGGCTCTGGCTCAGCATCAGTCACAGCCACATTAGAAAGAAGCTCCACAGCCGAGAGCAGAGATCCATCACAACTAATAATATTGTGAGACTGTCAGAGATGTGATGAATATTTTCTGTATTCATGAAGGGAGCCTTCATAATAACCTATTTCCCAGAGGCCCCGGTGGAGTCTCTCTCCTCTCAGCGTGCCTGTTTTCTTTCATGCTGATCCTGTGGATTTATTTTCTTGTACAATGTTACGTGTGTATTCCTCCACCTCCCTGTCCCTGTCCGGTGCAACATGTTCACTGCTTTTTGGACACAAAGTCTGAGTGTATTTTGCTTTTTAAGCACAAATAAACAGATTTTCCAGTCAAACAATGCTGCATTGTCTTGCTCTCCAGTTTGGCCTTGGGAAGCAGCCATCGCAGCCAAAAAAAAACATCCCTTTGTTCAGAGCTCCGCTGTTGATCAGGTGGAAATGTTTGGAGCGTTCTGGAGAGGAATTGGCAGCGATTTGAACGAGCCGTCATGGGGAGAGCTTTTGTCCCTACATCATGTAGAGGCTGGGGAGAGCTGAAAGTCAGACATGTCAAGTCACAGCTGCTACCAGTATTCAGTAGTGTGCTCATGTAGAGCTTCTTTTTCTGTTGTTGCAACGTCCACCTGTTTTGTACAGCACACTCTCCCAGCAGAAGCCATCAGATCAGTCTCTTATTACCAGCTGCTGCTTTCACAGTATGCGACTGTGATTTGATAACACCAAGGTGTTGTTCTTGAGGTTGTTTGTGACAAATGAGAAGCTCCACCAGCAGTGGAGGCAGTTTGTGTCAGACACAGTAAGTTTATTATCAGTAAATCTTGGTCATAATTCTTTAATAAACTATTTTTTAAATGGTAATTAAGGCTCTGGTGTGAAATTCACACAGCAAATGTCCAAAATCCCAAAGCTGGAACCATTAAATGTTTGGAAGTTTTGCTCAATAAAAAGACAATTGGTTTCCCAATTTAAGTTGTTTAGAAACATAATTATGTACAGAGACAACTCAACTGTACAGTTTTTAAAATATTAATTGCACCATTTTATTTATCCAATTCTAAAAACGTGAAACCCTTATAAAGGGGCGCTCCAAAAAATGTTGGACTACTGATCATGCGTCAGGAAATACTTGTGTATTTGTTGCCTGAAGGAAATCTCCCAGAAAGCATTTGAAGTAGATTGTGAAGCGTTTGCTACAGACGTATAATATGAAACAGAAAAGTGAATCAGTGCACTGAATTTGGTCACAAGATCAAACCCCTCAGGCTCTTCAGCCCTTGCAGAAATGGATAAGGAAAATAAAACGGAGTAAATAAGCAGCAAAACAAGGAAAACGGCCTCATACAAAAAAAACATAACGCGATTCGACTATTTTTCCATTTATTTTGTTCATTTTAGCATTTGGGGATCTGTGGGAAAGAAATGTGTGCATTAAGTTTCAAAACTCATCAGTACAATTTCAGATTAGTGTAATAATAATAATGCAGCGCTTTAGTTTAAGATTTTATTTTCTTTAATTGAATATTTTCCACTTTCCACTAAAGAGACAGCAATGTAAAACATTAACCCACTAAATAATTATATAAATTATTTTCCATCAACTTACAACACAGATATTAAACATTAGTACACATTCAGACAAGAAGAAAAACAGTTTGTTCTTTAAAAGCAAGATTTGACTGCAAGACTTTATTCAGCTCCGATAGTAAAAGCACCGGGAAAAAACCTAATAGGGACGCGGTGTTGAATTGATGTGTTGAATAGTACTCGGATAAATTGGTGGACGACTGATTTGACAAACAAGCAAAGTAAATTTAGTCTTACTATATAAGAAATATCATCTAACGCGTTAAACTAAAATATGTACAGGCTTCTTGATCATCTCATTGTGAATTCCAGTAAAAGATTCGATGCTGTTCACAGTCCGTTAGTTACCGAAAACAAAGTGTCTTAGAATCAACAGCTACTCTCATGTTACAGTACAAGACAGTTCAGTCACATATACACAAAACATTCAAACACGGGACCCCGCCGTCCCGATTAAGACTCCTCTCTGATTGGAGTGCATCCGGAGAAAAAACTGTTCTGAAAACTGGTCAGGAGCCGTTTCTTCTTCTTGAGGAAGCTGACGGTAGTCCGGTCCTTCCCATAGTCATCCTCTTCCTCCTCCTCCTCCTCTTCCTCTGGAAAGGACGGTTTCCTGACCAACTTCAGGTCAGCGGTGGCATGCCCCATGTCTCCGATATCTTTCAGCACCTGAAACAGTGCAGGTTAGCAAACCGTTAGTCTGCTCTGCTTCACATCCTTTAAAAAGGTGGTGAAAGATCGAGAACTACAGAGAAATAATCACTAACTGGTCAGATCCTTCAGGAGGAGCCCGCTCACCTTCTTAGTGGGCGTACAAGACGGCGGCTGAAAGAACGTGGCGTTGTCCGGGCTGTCGGATATGGGATCTTGAAGAGACATGGAGTCTTTGGAGATGATTTCTGTCTGACTTACATCCTGAAATGAGTAAAAAGTTAAAAGACATTTGAACGTTGCTTATGGGTCTTTATTAAATTTTCATAAAAGCCTCCTTTAGCATCTTCACCAAAGCAAATCAGGGTAATCTTTGTCAACGAAAGTTACATCCGACTAGAAAGAAGCACGATTGTAATAAATGCCAAATTACGTATTAATCTGTTGAACTAGTACCAAGTTATTATTTATTAATCATTAATTTAATTAATTTCTAATGACTGCAACATATCTAATATTTCTATTCTATATTGGTGATGAAAGAAATACGAGTAATTACTAATAGTCCAATAATAACTTTGGTTTGGAGTGTTATTCTCATCTATTACATTCTGATGAGCGTGTACTGTACAGCAGTTATCATATTAACATTAGCCGTAAAGTTCAGCGTAGATAAAACACGTCCTGACAATCTTCACCTGTGTTTTTCCTACCACGACATGTCAAGATGTCACACGCTGATATACAAACACGACAACAGAAAATTACAATTTTTGCAATTATTGATTTGTAAAACTTTATATTTTCAAGATATTCCTGCATCACACAAACACAGTGCAAGTTATCGGTAGATGAGACGAGTGGAAATCATGAGATGACTTACCCCAGCAAGCACCTGGTTGTCCATATTTCGACATTTCTCGTGATCACACTGGCAGTTCTCTCCGCACGTCAGCTTTCCTTTGCGGCACCTGCACTGCTTGTTGCCACAGCGACCTTTACACGCACACTAAAGGAAGAGAAGTCGTGACGTTTCTTTGCATCATGAGTAACCGAACTATCCTGATCCTAAGAAAATACGTTTACAGCTCGGCACCGGAGGAAATGTGCTTTTCTCTTATCTAGTGCACTTTGAGTCAGGTGACGTGTTTCATTAATTAGCAGGCCGATTTAATATCCTGGACATCCTTTGTTGTCGCCCTTCATGAGCCTTCAGTGAGCGCCGTGGACCGACGAGCTCACAGGTTTCATACACAAACAGCCGTTTGAAGATGACCCCCGATCCTAATCTCGGTCTTACCCCGGTTGCTTTCGGTTTCTTTGAGGTTCTGCGTCCCTTCTCCGGTTTCTCGGGGCGCCACTCATCCTGTTCCCCCCCACTCTCGTCCTCGCTGGGAGACATCAGCTCTTCGATGCTGATGGTCGTGTTCAGCGGCGCTTTAGCGGTGGTGAAGCGCTTCCCTTTAGGCTGGTTTGTGGAAAACACAAAGAAAGAAAAATCAACACACGTGAACTTCAAAATGAATATCCCTCAAGTTCTCAGAGAATTTCACATTTACTTCTCAAAAATAAAAGATATTGTTCACAGAATAATTCACTATTGGTGAAAGGCTCTCTTTCAGTTAAACGTTGGTCCTGACTAAATCATATTCGATGACTACGGGAACAACCTACATTAGCCAACTTACTTTTAAGAAGTGAAGTAACCGTGTATGAAAACAACAACGAAGAGGAAGGTAGAATATCTGCGATTACCTTCGGAGGAACGTACTCAAACGAGTCCTCCGGGTTCTTTTCATTGTTGGTCGCGGGCGCGAGGACTTTCTTTCCACTTGCCAGGCAGAGCGATGAGAGTTTCTGTGGAAGAAAAAACAGATGAGTTTGAGCCAATATCACACACAAATACAGTGGGTACGGAAAGTATTCAGACCCCTTTAAATTTTTCACTCTTTGTTTCATTGCAGCCATTTGCTAAAATCAAAAAAGTTCATTTTATTTCTCATTAATGTACACTCAGCACCCCATCTTGACAGAAAAAAACAGAACTGTAGAAATTTTTGCAAATTTGGAGTCCAGCTGTGTTTAATTAAACTGATTGGACTTGATTAGGAAAGGCACACACCTGTCTATATAAGACCTTACAGCTCACAGTGCATGTCAGAGCAAATGAGAATCATGAGGTCGAAGGAACTGCCCAAGGAGCTCAGAGACAGAATTGTGGCAAGGCACAGATCTGGCCAAGGTTACAAAAGAATTTCTGCAACACTCAAGGTTCCTAAGAGCACAGTGGCCTCCATAATCCTTAAATGGAAGAAGTTTGGGACGACCAGAACCAGAAAACGAGGCACATTGTTACAAATGTGTGCAGCTCCATGGGAAGCGTTTCTTGTCTGCAGCCACGTTAAATCATTCAGTCACAAATGATGTGTCGTCTGATCATTGACCTTAAGCCCCTCCACCCATCAGTGTGGTATGAGAGTATGGTATTCATCCTGTATAAGTTAACTTTACATTAAACCAATAGTTAAATGATAAAGCTTACCTCCTTGTACGTCTCATTCTGCTCCACCAGTGTCTGGTTCCGCTCACTTAATTCTCGTAGCTTTTCAAGCTCTTCTTCCTAAAACGATGTCACAAATAACCGCATGATTACCTTTTTGTTTCTCCTACACAACGAAGGGAAAGTGCAAAGTCGACTTGTTGATTAAACCCTTTTCAGCCGGTGGAGACAAACCTGAACTTTGAGGCGCTGGAGAAGTTCCTTCTCCTTTGCACTCTCCTCATCCGTCTGCTTCGTCTCAGCTGGCTCTTCACATATGGGCTTGCTCTGGAGCTGATTAAGGAGGTAATGGACCTGGAAATGGCAAAAAATAAAAAAAAGTATATAGAACAGAACATTTCACAAGTATACAAGCAAACTGGTATGCGAGTAAAAGCTATGAGCACCTTCTCCTGATGCCGCTGCTCTAGTTCCACCAACTGCTGCTGGTGCTCCATGTCCATGGTGGACATCACGTGTCTCTCATCAGCCATCATCTTCCTTAAATCTTGTGAATTCCCCGTCTCCTGTTTGAGCTCGCTCTCCAGCTTGCCACCTGCTGTTTTTGCAGACACCAGCTAAAAAAAAAAAAAAAAGGGGAAATTCTTTTTTTTTTTGGAAACACGAAAGGCAACAAACGAATGTACTTTCACTAATTCAACACAGGTGTGAGATCAAAATGTATGAGCATCTGCTCACCTCAGACATGAGGACCTTAAGGGAGTACTTGGCGTCGACTATGCTGGTGATGCTATCGAGGCGCTGTTTCAAACGGCCCTCGCCGTCAGCGACGAGGACTTTCTGCTGAAGGTCAGCGATCTGGGCATTCCTGTGAAGACACAAATCACTCTTCACATCTTAACAATTCCTGCAACAAGGTTCAAAATCACTTCAGTGTTTTCTGAAGAGACTTCTTTGCAAAACAAACTGCTAAAAACGTGTGTGAGTGCATTTAAGGGTGTGTAGCTCAACCTATTGGGAAGCAGAGTACGATGAATGCGCAACAGATTTTTAAAAAAAAAAGCAGTTTAATGCGGTGACCGCGTTGCTCCGCCGGACTCACCTGAGGGCCATCTCCGTCTCCAGGTTCTCCACCTGTTTGGTCAGAGGTGTTTCCAGCGCTCCCTGGGTCTCCAGCTCAGAGATGATCAGCGTCCGACGCTGCACGGAAAGGACACCACGAAGAAAAGGATCGACTCTTTGTTTCTACTTCGCTGACGCACTGGATGTCTCACTTATTCTTTTTTCTTCTTTAAATCAACAGTATAGACTTTACAACTCACCCTGATTTTGGCAGCTGGTCGGTCCCCTGCCTCTATCTGCTGCTTGAGGTGGTTGATCTCCTGAGCCAAGACCTTCCGGTCATCCAGCAGATCGTTGAGGTGCCGCCGGGCCTCCTCTGTGCTGACCATCACCTCCAACTCATTGATAAGCCATGTCTGATCACATGAAGGCAACAACAGAGTTAGGGCGGCAACATTCTTATTGTCTAATCTGGATCCCTTTGAGCGAGAGATAGATAGATAGATAGATATATCTTAAGGACAACAAGTTTTACTACCTTAAGTCTTGCAGCAGATCCCTCTGTTCCTCTGTTGCGTTTATCTGCTGCCTCACTTCTCTTCTGCAGCGCATCTTTTAACCGCTTGTTTGCAGCTGCAGCCTGTGTATGTGTGGGGGTGGGGGAGACAAACTTGCAATAAGATGCTTTAAACTATTTCCAGTTCCATTTAATTCTAAGAGTCTGAGATTAGCTTAAGAGTGACTCAGAGGTTTGCAACCAGGTTACTGGTCGTGGTAATAGTTGCTACTTTACAGATGTTGGAAACATTAAATCCAGCATGTTTATTTGTAGATGGTGTGAATGAAATGAAACAGACCGAGAGGCCTCACCTCCTCAGTTTTACGTCGCAAAACATTGGCTTGTTTCTGGAAATCCCTCTCAAGTTTAAGTAACTCGTACTGCCGTTTACGATCCTGTCAAACAGATAAACAATTAACAGAGATGTTTATGGAACCAAGTGATAAACCATTCAGCAGCAAGATTTAATAATTCTATGAATAAGATGTTGATGTCCTGCAGTGAGGAACTCCCCATTACCTTCTCCTTCAGCTGCAGCACCTCCCTGTCCTTCAGGCTCTTCCAGTTTCGGAACTTCTCTGAGTCCTCCCTCATCTGCCTCATCAGCTGTGTACGCTGGGTCTTCATGGACTGTGAGATCCATGGAGATATTAGAAAAACATGCATCCTAAATGGTAGTAGTGCATGTTTACACTTAACACACAATGCAGCCTTCACCTTTAAAAGGAACTACTAGTAAAGTAAAACCCTGCTCACCTGTATCTCATGCATCAGGTTGCCAACTTTCTTAACGGAGGACTCTTTGAGCTTCAGCATTTTGGACTGCTCGAGAAGCTTCTTCTTCATGTCCCCCAGCTGGCCCTCGAGCTCCTGCAGTCTCTTCCTGCGCTGCTCACTGAGCCTGAAACAAGGTGGTGTGTGTCAAGACGAAGCAGGAAGTAGAAAGTGAAGGCTTAGGAGGTTACTTTACTTTTGTGTCAACAACAAATCAGTAATACTTTTTGTCAAATTATGAAGCTCCAGGCACAAGTTTTCATACTTCGCCTGGTTAGTGTCCTTCTTTGCAGACTGAAGTGCCAAAACCAGATCTTCCTTCTCCTTCTGCAGAGAATCCACTGCGGACTGTAGAGTGTGTACATTCTTCTGTAGGACAGAATGTCAAGAAGATTAAAAAAAAATATGGCTCATTGTTAGTATAATCAAAGCAGAAAGACTGTGCTTTAAAATCATGAAACACATTAAAACTCTCATGGGAACCTCGTCCCATAGCTGTCGCACCACGCCGCTTATTCTTACTAATAGATGAATGATGATCAAAAATGTATTTTGCAACATTTAATCTTATGCTCACGTAGGTTTAGATTTAAATCCTCTCCCACCCAAACCCTGCACTCGTGTTCAGTTTCATTCAGAAAAATATCACGTCACCGAAGCCAAGGATGCTCTAGCTTCCGTTTGATGGGAACTTAATGAAACAACTGAACGCTAAATGATTTTGAGATTATTGCCAGAGGGCCTACCTGGTGCTCCGATTGCATCGGCTCCAGCTGGGTGTCATTCTGGCACATTTTCTTCACGAAAGCCTCCTTCAAGCTCAGCACTTTGTTCAGCTCGATCAGCTCCTTGGAGAGCTGAGCCTGTCGCAGTGCATGATGGGTCGTGAAGCCCTCTGGGGCATCCTGTTTAAACGTGTTAAGAGGTGGGGAACATCTTAATTTACATCGGTCTCAGAAAGACTTCATTCTTCGATCAAACTTTTTTTCAGAATTCTTCATTTTGTAAAGTATATTTGATACTAATCAACATCTAACGTGAACATCAACGAACAAAAGTGTCGACGTACTGATGAGGATTCGTCATTTTTACTGCCGTTCCCGGACACCTCGCGTCCGTCCTCTCCTGCAGCCATGGCGTCGATGGAGGCGGCGATGCCTTCACTCTCATTCTTAGGAAAAACAACAAACAGTAAACCATAATATTCCGCATTATGAACATTCAATCAACGCTGCTGGATGTATAACAGGAGATGACTTCTGTACCTTGAGCTCCAACACGATGTCTTGCAGGTTCTTCATCACCTCGATGTTCTCCTTCAACTCCTGGTCCTCCAGCGTCTCCAACACTTTCTCCAGATCCACTGTACATCTGAAATAACGGTTCATAAAGAGCGTAGCTCAATACGATCATCGTGGGATTGGTCAACAAAACAAAACAAAACAATAGCTACAATCATGAACAAAACGGACTGCCATTAAAAACAAAACACAACATTTAACGGGAATAAGCCGTTAGACTCGTCCTGAAGCTCTCACGGCTTCACAAACTCACGCTGCATGGTCGCTCAGCTGCTCCATTCTGCTCTGTAGTTTCTCATTTGCATGCTCCGTCTGTAAAATGAAGCAAACACAACGTGATGGAGGACAACGCAAAATAGTGAAATGTCAGAGAAACAACATCAAAAATGTGTCGACAACATAATTTCCCCACCCTTTTTTTTTCCAAGTTAATTTGTTTTTAAATGTCAATTTCAATTGTCTTGGCTTTCCAGTTTTTCCAATGACATTTGCAGGAAGGATTAGCGAATGCTGTCGCGGTCTTGCTCACCATAATTATCTTCTCGAACATGAGGGCAGTCTGTCCCGCTGCCTCACTCAGCTCCCTGCTCAGCTTATTGTTCTCACCCTGCAGAGCGCGATTCCTTTCCAACAGCTTCGTCACCTTCGCCGTTGACTCTGGCCTGTGACAGAACGCAGAGTGTCCCGTTATGGCCTTTTGTTATCACTTTCATTTATTAAAAGCTCGACTAGCCAGGATACACAGCAGCGTGAAAAAAAAAAAAAGAGTTGTTAAACGGTGAATCCTGAAATGTGTCAAACATACAGCATTTTACACCCTTAATATTTGGTCATTTTAGACCATTTAAAACAATTCAAGACAATTAAGACAGCTTAAGAGCATGAGGAATAAAAGGTGCAAAATAAGTAATTTATAAAACAATTAAATAAAAGAAAGTAGATGTCTTTTGATGCTGCCTGTGGGCACTACAATTTCCATGTGACTACGAGTGGGTGTTGAGGCTTCAGGTAGAAAATCGTGCGGGGCAGGGTGGGGGGGGGATGAACCGTCTCGATGAGAGGGTAAACAGGGTGGCCTCATCACACCTTTCACTCAGTGAAGAAGACAGAATGCCAATGATCCTGCAGCATTGTTCTTATTCCCTCTCCAGCTCCTTAGACAGGCCTTTCGTCAGCCCGCCCCAGACTGGTCTTTTGTTGTGGGTGCATTCATCCCACATCCTGATGGGACATTTATTGGAAGAATGTGATGTCTTACCCAGAGAGCACCGGAGCGACTCCTCCACGGGCATGAAGCAGCATCACCTGCAGCTCCTGAACCTAAACGAGTGTATGAATCAAGACAATTGGGACATTTATTACGTTTGAAATGGAAGTAGTAAGGTGTGTATCATTTATTTATTTATTATCAGCACCACTTTCTGTCCTATCGATCTTCAACAAAGATGTTGAACTTGTAAACAAGCAACTGAACTGCATTTAACTTGCAGCATCATCACACACGCCCCACAAATGTCTCTACCTGTTGTTTCAAGCGGTTCATCTCTGCAGCTCTCGGGTCAACGTTGACGACAGGCTTGTTTTTAATCTTGCGAGCTCGGTCAGCGTATCGCAGCGTGTTGATGGTCTCCTCCATGTTTGAGTCTGCAGGACTGATGCACGCGATCATCAAAGTGTGGCTGTTGCCTCCCAAAGAGTCTGAAAACATTCCATTAGACAATAAAAGTCAAGCGACGCAGCCTCGATTTGCTCGTGTTTGAAGGATCCTGAACGTGAGGACGGCATCTGAGACTAATGACCACGGAGTAACTTCTCAACACGGAACGCAAAGCTTACTTTGTAGCAGGCGGGTGAGCTTGGAGTCTCTGTAAGGTACAAAGCTGCTTTTCTTGCTTTCGTCCCCCAAGGCGCTGATCACATTACCCAAAGACAAAAGGCCCCGATTGATGCTGATGCCTGAAGATGAAAATGAACAGCATTGGAAACAGAACGGCTGTAATTGAGGGCACTTTCACAATACAAAAGAGACAACCCAGAGATAGCACACTACGCCATATAGCGTGGGGAGGATCATGAATTGAGAGAAAAAAAGAACATATTCAGTTTACCTTCCTTTAACCGATCTCCCTCTGCTTTGGTTTTCTTTTGCCTTTCTGAACCAGCCAGATCCACGAGGTGCAATTTTGAAACAACCGAGTCGGCTCTGCAACAACAGATTACACAAATATTCAACCGATTCCACTGTTTAACCGAACACATTACAAAGTGATTGTGTGAGAAGACGCCGCCACACTGACTTGTCTGTCCCTCTGCGCTGCTCCAGCGTGATGGTGAAGATAGCGTGCGAGCGCGAGGAGGCAGCGTTCATCGCCGTGGAGCCCACGGTGCGAACGGAATTTCCGACCTCCAGACAACCCACCATCTCCTGGGCGGTGACCACCTTCCTCTCAGTTAAACCCACGATCTGGGGAACAGGATATTTTCAATTAAAACTAAAAGCGGACACACTCTATTATGTTTGTACACTGCTGCACTGCACTGACCTGAAATACTTCACCAAGGAATAGGATGAGGTTTATCTTTCCATCTACTCTGAGCTTCAAAGAGATGCCACACTATGTGCATTTATCTTTGTAAAACATGTCGGTCACTCACCTTAATCCCTTCTTTAGGGTCTTCCCTGATGCTGAGGCCTGATTTATCTTTCGATGCACACAGCAAGTCCAATATGTCTTCATTATAGATCTACAATCGCAAAAAGGAAATCACTTTGATTGCACAATAAAACGGCACCTGCTGAAAGCCAATGGAACACAATACATTTCTAAATGGCATGAAAACAAAAGTGTAAACAACATTTCCACCGACCTCCAGGTAAGATACCGCCAGACTGAATTCACAGGCGGGCCTCTTCTCCCCTTCCTCAAAGATCCTTCTGATAACTCGCGGAATAACTCCGACTGAAGGGTCACTTTCTTGAGCCGATGTGTACGTGCCTCCCATGGAGAAGGTCTTCCCTGATCCCGTCTGTCCGTATGCAAGAACTGTGGCATGGTAGCCTACGAACAGGACACGTTAGTGAGAATGTAAAATGATTCAAAAGACAATAGAGAAAAATAAATATCTATAGAACTACCTAAAATCTTTCATCTAATTATGCTTTTCATTTGTGTGCAGCCAATGGTCAGGACAGTCAAGTGTTTCAGCAAAACCATGAATTTTAGGTTGCACAATCTGTTTCTGGGGTTAAAACAAGAAGAGAGTTTTCTTCCTGAATGCAATGAATCGTGCTAGAAAGGTACAGCTACCTTTGAAAAGCCCACACAACAAGGGGGACACGGTGGTGTTGAAGACCTCTTCTTGTTCGGTGGTGGGATCGAATACATAATCATAGGTGAACGCCTTCTCTGTGCCAACGATCACCTGAAAACAGAACAAGAATTGAGCTGTTGTTACACTTACTACATAGTGTAGCTCCATGGCCTTTAAAGAAAGACAAAAACATACATTATATACACATGGATATATTAGCCGTGGTACAAAATATTACACTGAAAAAAGGATATTTCCCTAAACTGTTGAGCACAGACCTGCGGTTCTCCAGGCACGAACGTCAGACAGCACTGACAGCCCTCGTTGGTTTCTTTAGGGACCAAGGGGCGGCATCGCAAGGCGACCCTCACTGGGATCACCTTATCATCCTCATGGGTCATGATGAAAAACTAGATACCTAAAAATAAAAGAAACAAAAAGGGTTATCATAATGAAACCAAGCAATATCAGTCCAGTCATGTGACATATTGAAATATCGTGAATGGACAATTTGTTTTTGAAAAATCCCGTATTTGTAATTAGTGACACCACTCAAATGTAGCAGTGTTGATACTGACTGCAATGGCAGATGTTGAGATACAGTGACTTCCATCATGTCAACAGAATAGACATGTATTGCTTGAATACTTGAGGATTGAGGAAAACGACAATATTTGGTACTGACCTCTTAATTATATACCAACAAAAGACATCTAAACCAGATATGGTTCAAAATTACCATTTTTGCTGTGTCATTAATCATTAAACCATGACATCACTACATTGAATCATACTGTATATTGTGTATGTGGTTGAAAGGGTGAGTGGCATATGCATTAGTGTGGCATATACAGTCAGGGCCGTAAGTATTTGGACTGTGACACAATTTTTCTAATTTTGCCTCTTTACACGACTACAGTGGATTTGAAACTAATCAGTCAATATGTTGTTGAAGTGGAGACTTTCATCCTTAATTCAATGGATAAAACAATAATATTACATGAACTGTAATGGAATTATGGCCATTTGTATACAGTCCCCAACATTTTCAGAGGCTCAAACGTAATTGGACAATTGTCAGACAACTGGTTTCATGGCCAGGTGTGGTCGGTTCTGTCACCATTTCATGACAAATGATGCAGATAATAGGATTCAAAAAGTTAAATTAGCATTTGATAGCTGGTCCATGGAACTCTCAGCATGCGGACCAAAAAGGTGTCAATGCAAGTGAAGGAGGCCAGTATTAGGCTGAAAACAGTAAACAAACCAGTCAGTCAGATAGCAGAAACATTAGGATTGACCATATCAACAATTCACTGGCAAGCTAGCCAACACCAAAAGGCCCAGAAGACCACGGAAGACATCTAAAGTGGATGATCGCGGAATTCTTTCCTTGGTGAAGAAAAACCTCTTCATAACATCTACTGAAGTCAAGAACACTCTGGAGGAGGTAGGCGTACCATTGTTAAAGTCTACAATCAAGAGACGCCTTCATGAATCTAAATACAGAGGGTTTACAACAAGGTGCAAACCTCTGGTAACACTGAACAACAGGAAGGCCTGATTACACTTTGCCAGAAAACATCTAAAAAAAAGCCTGACCAGTTTTGGAAAAATATTCTTTGGTAAGATGAAACCAAGATTAACTTCATCAGACAGTTATTGACTGCAAAGGATTTTCCTCCAAGTATTAAAAATAATGATTATATTCACAATTATGTTAGTTTGTCCAATTTACTTTTGAGCCTCTGAAAATGTGGGGGACTGTGTAAAAATGTCTGTAATTCCTAAACGGTTAATGTGATATTTTTGTTTTATATATTGAATTAAAGCTGAAAGTCTCCACGTCAACCACATATTGACTGATTCATTTTAAATCCACTGTAGTCGTGTAAAGACTAAAAATTAGAAAAATTCTGTCACAGTCAAAATACTTATGGCCCTGACTGTATGTACATTACTTTGATTACCTAACATTGCCAAATAAAATAATATCACCAGAAAATAATTGCGGAAAGAACACACTGGGAATGAACCAATTGCTTGCGTGCGTCACTGACCACGAGCGTGTTTATAGTTTGAAACGTTTTTTTAATTAGGAGTAATGGACGCTGTCCAGTGGTGAATCGTGTCCCCGTGTCTCGGTGAATTAACAGTGGTTGTTGTCATGGTGTCCAATGAGTTGGTCCATTCTTCTCCATCTATGGAGCATGATTGTCTGAGTAACACATCAGAGCCCAAAGACCAAGATCAAAACCGAGCTGTGTAATAAGCAGGAGATGTTATGGAAGTGTGCTTTTACTCAATTGACCTATTTTAAGGATACGAAAGCCACTTAACAGTTAACTATAACGTGCACTTACCAAACGTTACCGTTGAGGCAAAACAAGCTACCAGCTAACTAGTTAGCGGTGGTTAAAGTGCATTTTTATTGAATTGAAAACATTACCGGTGGGCAAAATGAAGTCTTCAACCCAGGTGACATTTTGTACCAACGTTTAAGTTGGAGTCAGTTTACCGTTAATAACGTCAACCTAGCAAAGCAAGCTAGCGTTGGCCATGAAGACGATGACTTCAACTTTAACTTCACGTTACCTTCACGTTTGCTCCAGGGCCAAAGTTTAGATGTCACAAAGACTGCATTCGGTGGTTCTAGCTGAAGACGGGGTCAGCGTTAATGTGAAACACTCTTCATAAAAAGTCCAATTTTGAATGTTACTGGTTTCGGCTAACTTGATTAAGTATTGTCCTTTTCCCGTGTAACCACTGTCTTTGAGACGAGTGTTGTTACTGCCCGCCACTTTCAAACACCCAGCTCCGCCTCCTCCTCCTTCTTCTACTTGTAGTTTTGTTGCAGAGTCGACGCGACTCGGCAGCGGCACTGCCCTCCACAGGATAAAATAAGAAACACAGTATTTGTACAATACCGCAACAAAGATTAAAAACAACAACACATTGCTGCCTTAACCGTTCACCTTGATCATTTTACTCTACGTCACACATGACACTTACATTCAGCTTGTAATTTATTTATTTATTTGTCACCTATTTTCCTTCACTCTTCACCGTTATTGAACCTGTTTTTTTCTGCACACAGATTCCTGATATTTTGGTGCATTCACTCAACTGGATATAAAGTAGGGGGTTGTAAAAAATTCATCAAGGTTTTGAGGACCAAAAACGATTAATTCCGACTGTTGAAACAAATCATTTCATCCTAAATGATTCAGCATTCAAATGCTTGTCCAAATGAGCTGAGCACATATTAGATTAATGATTATTTTGTGAACCGAAGGCCATTTATATAATTTGAATGCATTCTATTATTCAAGTGGACTAAATGATGGATTTTTGTTTTGCAAGCTTGCAAGGTTAAACCTACCTCACTGAAGCCTCTCTGGTGACTTGAAAACTGAATACACCAACAATACACAATTTTATGACGTGAGACAGAGAGAAGACAGGAGAATCACTGTCGCTACCTGACAGTGACAGTATTTTCTATACCCTCAATTCAATTGGTCGTTATTACAATTCAAAATAAGGGTGTGATAGAGAATCGAGAGAACAAGCATCAAAACAATGCTGCAGCAGACAGCATGTGAATCAGTAATTGTGTACGATATACATACTATGTTAAAAAATAAAAAACCTCTGGAGAGATTTATTTTTTGCTTCGAATAATTGCTTTTAGAGGAGGACAATACGGCAGAAGGGAAGCTGAGTTAGTGACATGACATCCCTCTTGATGAGATGAGTTGTCAGCCCTGTGATGGAAAATGGGGAGTGACTCTCTGTTCTGGATGAAAAGAGTGAGGTCATTACACCGAGAGCCAGAGGGGAAAGCATCTGAGTCCAGATAAAGTTCTGCGGGGAAGAGAGAGTTATTAAGCAGGCAATAAACCGCCAGAAGACAAGAGCATGGACTCGTGTTACAGATGTGTGCTTCTGATAAGCTGCGTTAGTTGTTTCCAGAAAATCCACCAAAAGATGATTTCCACAATGCTGCGTCACATAAAATGATTCTTCGTCCACGTTTAGTCCTACCCACACGTCAGAGGATTTATCGAATGTACGAGGTAACAGAGCACCACAGCACTGTTGTAGCTGGGTCCTATATATGCAATCCATGACTTTTATCAACCTTGTCACCACGGGGAGCTGCAACAACACTGATAGAGCTTATCCTCTCCAACACGGATGTCTGACTCAGCCTCCACCCCTCCTGTGACAGAGGCTGCCGGATCCACACACACACAAAACAATGAAGTCACATCTTCACAGTATATGAGCAGATTATGGGAGGGACATTTTGACATGTCTCACATGACGTTGCAAATTCTTGTCAAAATGTGTTTTGACGCTGGTTGCTGGCTTGAATATCCATCATATAGATTATTTATCAGCCATTGTTGAGCAGTTGAAACCATCGAGGTAATAGTAATACACAAGGTGGAGGGAATCCACAAGGCCTTGAAACTCGAGTGAGTGGAGACAGTAATCCCAGCAGGAGACTGGAGAAGTAATCATTGGGTCATTGATATCGATACTATAGCCAGTATATGCCGCAGGGAAGTAAAACAGTCATATTCCTGCACCTCTGAAGTTTTACTGAACATCCTGTTTATTTGAATCATCGTACGCAGAGACTCCGAGGCGAGTGAGTCCTGCTGCTCGAGGAAATTCTACCACAAGAACCAATAGCAACATGCCCGATTATCTCTGCTCCCAGTAATAGAACGCACAGTGAATGAATGGAACAAACCGGTCTACTGTCTCCATATATACTAAGTGATGATTGTGCATGTGGGCACTTTTCCTAAATAGGAAGATTGTAATGGCAAGAATAATGTTCTCAGCTCCGCCTATTTGGCTTGTGAAGCTACCTTGACCTTGAACAGCAGTGCCCGCTCTGATTCTCTCGCTGGAATGGGAGGAAGAGCAGACATGCTTCCCTCTTTCCTGTTGTAGTTTCAAAAGACACTCTACACGGGGTAGTAGAGTTTGCAATCATCCATGCCTAAAATCCAATGGGTGCATGAATGGGTTTTTTAAAGAGGATACACTCTGCTCAGCTGCACTAAGCTATGTGTACATACCAGTACCTCGGCTCTGCCGAGCTAAACGTTCTATGATGGGGTTTTCAATTAACTGTGGAAAATGTAATTTATGATAAAAAAAACTGCAATCTATGTAAAGTAGCTAAAATAATGAAGTCTGCTGAGTATCAGGTAATTAGAGTGAATTTAATTAATTTGCACAATTGAATTCTCAGTGCAGCCTCCACATTTTTTTTGCCATTTTTAACATTTTAGCAACTTCTTCTTAATGAAGTCGTGGTAGATGGATTTTCCCCCCGGGTTCAAATGTAGGATATCTGACTTTGAGGTTGAAAATATTTAAGTTTGGAGATGTCTGGAATACAGCATTAGATCTAGCCAATCATGAACTTCTAGGTAATCCGATTGCATGAAGCAACATTTGGCCTGCTGTCTGATTTGGCGGCATCTCTGGGGCGGATGTCATGTAATCTCTAATGTGAGAGATGCAATATATCATTCAAATTTAAAGATATTATTTTGACTGTGGGAGATGAATGGCGTCCTGTTCTTATCTTGGTGTGATGCTGTGTGATGCAGACACATTATATCCGGGTGTTATCGTGGGGCGATCTGCACCGGCGGAACAAAGTCCAGTGGAGTACCCCAGGGGGTCTAAATGTGACCCCCCTCCCATTCTAAAAGTGGACCGTAACATGGAACAGGAACACAAAGAAATCACTTCCACCACATCTGGTAGGAAATGCTTGCCTCCACGCGTGTCTGAATTGGGAAGTTATTTCACATTGTTGTGGATCCTACTGAAATTTCCTTTTGATTTTCAGACGACATGGAGCCCAAGAAGAAGACAAAGAAGAAGAAGAAGAACTGCTTCAAGCGCTTCTTTTCCTGGGCCAAGAGGACATTCTGCTGCTGTATCTCTGTCGATGATGACGAGGTATGACTTGCACTATGAACACAACACCATCTCTCGATGAATTTCACACAGGAAATTTAGAGAGTAAGCTTCCTTCCATACTCTCTATCGACACTGGAGGCCATCTGTCAGGAGTGGTGTTGTAGATACGTTCATAGTTGCTGAGGGTATGAAGGCAAATCAATGTCAAAATCCGCAAGCACAAATGAGATCCACGAGCGTGTGTGTAGAGGTCCAAGCACAGCCTGAGTGTTCACTATATTGTTTTAGAAGTAAAAGCATCTGTACAGTGTTTGACTGCAACACATATTGGCTTTGTAGCTTATGCCTCTAGATAGAGCTCCATTGTTTTCCAGGAACTATTCAAAACACACCAGTGAGCCACACTATGTTCCCCCAAATATGTTTCGTTATTCTGATAAACATGGGCTCTGTAGTTTATTTTGACTCACTGCCACTTACACTGTCTTGACGTAAACTCACTAGAACACCAAATGTGTATCAATCCACGGCTAAAAATAGTCCATAACAACAGCACCACTTACGCATTTTTGGGTAACATTTGCTTAAAACTGCTGTGCCCAAGTATTTTGAGAAACTACTTAGCCTTTTTAGGAAAATTTAATTAAACATTTTTGATGCGTTTGAAAAGATATACTGTACGTCTTCAGTAGGGAGTCGTAGCGAAATTGTAACATATTGAGAGAACGGACTAATTCTTTGTTGATTTTGGACCTTGCATCGGATTTGTTGACCATGAAAAAAAGAATAACATCGGCCTTATTGATAATTATTTATGTCAAGAAGGTAGCCTATACTTGAAGGGAAGGTTTTTGTTGTTGTGTACATTTTTCATAACTCATCTGAATTCATTACTTATGTGCTGAACTGTAAATTGCTTTAGCATGTTGAAAAAAGTAACAAAAAAGTAAGAGTATTGTATGTAATCAAAAGTTAAAAAAAAAGTATAGTAAGTCATGAAACATTAACTAAAAGGTCAGAGTGCAGTATGTCATGAAAAAGGTCATATTATTGTGTGTCATGTAAAAGTCATAGTATAGTATGTTGATAAAAGTCACAGTATATTGATAAAAGTCATATTATAGTATGTTGATAAAAGTCACAGTATATTGATAAAAGTCATATTATAGTATGTTGAGAAAAGTCACAGTATATTGATAAAAGTCATATTATAGTATGTTGATAAAAGTCACAGTATATTGATAAAAGTCATAGTATAGTATGTTGATAAAAGTCATAGTATAGTATGTTGACAAAGCCATAAAGCACTTGTACAGTATGTTGACAAAGCCATGAAGCACTTGTACAGTATGTTGACAAAGCCATAAAGCACTTGTACAGTATGTTGACAAAGCCATGAAGCACTTGTACAGTATGTCAAAAAAGTCATAGTGTAGGATGTCAAAAAAGTCATAGTGTAGTATTTCAAAAAAGTATGTTAAAAAATATTTCAAAAGTCCTAGTATAGTGTTTAGAAAAAAGTCATATTATAGTAAGTCAAAAAAAGTCATAATAATGTATGCTATGCTGAAAAAAGTCATTATAGAACGTCGAGAAAAGTTCTAAAAAAGTTGTAGTATAGCATGTCAAAACCAAGTGTAATACAAGTCATTGGATAGTATGTCTAAAAAAGTCAAAACATTCATAAAAAGTCATATTATACTGAATGTGACAATATAACGATCATATTGTATTGCATGATATCACGTTTCAATATAAATGGGAAAGACGTGACACAATGATTTTCAAGGGCTTTGCTGTCATTTCTTCGGTACAGCAAGTGCCTCATTTGCAATACAAATTTTTACTAAAACCAGTAAATCCAAATCAGGCAATCGAGTATCACATCAGTTTCTGTAAGATATACACGTTTTCTTAAATTATTTTCAACAAAAAGTTAAACAGAAAACATGCGGGGAAGTGATTCATGCAGGAGAATGATGGTTGCTTAAAGTAAATAAAGCCTAATATGTACTTTGTTCTGCTCAAAGAGGCCTGTTACCAGGCAGATGCTCAGTCAATATCCACAAGAGCCAACAATAATTAGCTATACATTTTAGAACAGGCCTGAAGCCTCACGCTGAGTCAGCCATGAGCTCATGGGAGGGGGGTCTGTGGGTTGCTCTTTACTCCTCTGGCCTAGATGATGAACTCAAATATGTCTGGACTCGACATTAAGTGGGAATAAAGACAAAGCAAATGGACACTGAATGAACATAAAGACATGTTTAATATAAGCACAAGCACTATTTTGGCACTGCAATAGTGCAATTGTTTACATCAGTTTGATTGCCGCTGGTTTTAAGAATCAACAGCACACATAAAGCAGATAGCACTGAGGATATTACAGGCTACTGTAGACATTAACATACCACCAGATCGTCCTCTGTCAGTGAGGCTTTAAAGGCTGAGCCACAGGGAGCACCTTCCTCTGAGATAATTTATTCTGAAAGGTTTGAATAATGATGATCGTTTGGACACGAAACACTGTCTTGGCCTATGCAGCTTTGCCCAAGTTTTAAAATCAAGTTGGCCCATAAACCTCGAAGAAGGATGAGTTATGATCAAATATACTTCACCTGACAAATGTCCCATTAATTGAAAAACAAGTATGGGAAAACATATTCATTTGTGCCTTGAATCTGTATAACAGAAGGAAACTGTGTCTGTGGCAGTGGTGCTTCAAACCTAATTAAACTTAAGTGCAGGTATAACTGTTTACATAAGTATTTTGTAATGCATGGGAGGGGAAGAAAACACATTGTTTCAATGTCATGATGCTTTACCCGTCATCATGAGTCAGAGCACGGTCATCATCAGCTGATACGTGTAATAATCACTGACATTTAGACAACTGTTCTCTTCATTGACACATTTATTTGTGACGAGAGGATAGGGCCGCATTCTATGTGTTTTAGTAAGATGGTTTATCGCTTGCTTTGTTGGGGGGGGGGGTGTTGTTGGAGAATAATTACAGTTGTCATATATATTTATTGTTTTAGGGTGCCAAGAAAGCTGTGTCCATGAGGCCCAGAATTTCTTCCAGCGGGCCCTGAAAACAGGCCAATTTCATATATACAAGATTTCATGCAACCTTTGTTTGAACCAATAGAGACTCAAATAAAGGAAGGGATAAATCATCTTACTGAAATGCAAAGACAATTCCCTTTACAGGACTAATAAGGAACATCTAAAGAATAGGCCAGCTCTGGCCTCCGTGCCTTTAACATCTCGGGGGATACCGATACTTCACCATGCACGCGTATGACCATCGGGAGCGCGCATGCTTCCACGGCCCCGTACACGCCTTCTAAATTGCACATTTGATACCCCCAGAAGTATCTACGCAGGATGTGTAGCAACTGGGCGCAACGCACTTTCTGAATCCGCTTCCGGCGTGCAGACGACACCGATGCTTGTGCACACACAGGCTGATCACAGGGTTTTCACCCGAACAGCGCTGAATGGTAGCAGCTGAGAGGCGGGTGCGGAGCGAGGGTTGCCAAACCCGGAGGATTTCTCACGGCTCGCGGACTAGAATGCTCTTCTATATGTATCCCCATGAACGGATGACAGCCTCCAAACAAACCTACACTGAAAACTTTCAGTTCTACATTTGACGCGGAGCTGCCATTGAGATTTTATTTCCTCCTTTTTTTTTTTAAACCAGGTCCAAGAACAGGCATCATGCAGGTGCAAACTGTGGGCTAACGTTTCTGAAATGATTTGCTCGGCGCTGACGCTGACGCGTTTCATTGTGCCATATAACCCCGCATTGTCAGATGCCATTTTACTCTGCGTTATCCCAGCGTCCGGAATATTCCAACATACTGGGCCTGTTGTGCAATTAGAAGTTCGTGAGGCAGTGGCAAAACACGCTGGTGCAATGAGAAGCTACGCTGTCCAAGGCATTGTGCGCAATTCGTGCTGAAGCTTATGGGTCCTGCGTACTCAAGCTCCCGGCTTCCACTTGAAGAGGTGTGCGGCTGGGCTACAGCGCACTGGCTGTCGGCTTCACATCTGGACCGCCCCACTACTGTCATCTGCGGCCTGTTCCGACTGTGCACTCCCTGGACTTGTATGTTTTAAGGAGAACTGACTAATATCGCCTCGGCTGGTGTCGTGTTAAGGAAAAGGGGCGAATATTTGGCTTGGACTTGGTGTTATCGGTGATCCACTGGAACACCGTGGTCCAAAGCTGGACTGGCTTACTACTCGTCCAGCTATGGATTTTGCGTAGCAAAGTCACGCATTTTTAAAGGCAACGCTAGGGTGACATTGCAGTCTTCTCACCACATCGGTTATTTCGTCGTCCGATAAAAAAAATAAAAGAGTGGAAGTGGAGTATTGTCCGTCGCACGTATCAGCGCAGTGGGATTTCTACGTCTGCTCTGCGTCCCCCCCCACCCTTCCCGCGGTGACGGTTATGGGTCGGAAGCGGTGTGTCGGTGCAGATTGTTCCAAGATGGCGGCCGGGTGCTGCGGGGTGAAGAAGCAGAAACTGTCGGGATCGCCCGGGTCGGGGGGTCCCGGCGGGGTGGGGGCGGGAAGCGGGGTGGCAGGAACCGGACATTGTGGCTCGGAGTTGGGGATTGGCTCCTCAGCCACCGTTGCAGCAGCGGCGAACATGAGCAGATCCAACGGCCTGGGGGGACCCGGGGGTAACGTTAGCAGCAGCAGCAGCAGTAGTAGTGGCGGTAGTGGTATCAGCGGCACGAACGCTCTGTCCACAGCCCCGGCCGGTTACTCTTCATCCGGCCTCTCCCCGAATATCAGCTCTGGACCTGGTTCGGGAAGTGGAGGCAGGAAAATGGTCGTCTCAGCGGAGATGTGCTGCTTCTGTTTTGACGTGCTTTATTGCCATCTGTACGGATACCAACCTCCGAGAACACCCAGGTTTACAAATGATCCCTAGTGAGTATTTTTTGTCTTTTGTTGTTTTGTTGCATGTCAAAGCTCGTTTATGTAATCTCTAAACAAATGTATTTTGACGGGATTGCCTCTGGATGCCACTTCGGTGTTAAGGGCACAAACTGTCACATCGAAAAAACATTTTACTTACAGTGCATTTGATGTGAAAAGCTCGCGATCAGAGCTTAATTTGGCCAAGTTGGAATTTGCGGCCTGTCGAACAGACTGTCGGCACTGGCCCGCATCGGCGCTATGCTAACGTTAAAATGAATGATATATGATATTACCATGCGATGTCACCTATCCCTGAATGAAGAACTCTGATCTACTTTAAGATGTTCCGTCGCTAAGATTACTTGGTGGAAAAAAATGTTGGCGATACTGGTTGTGTAACTCTAAAAACACTGGGTAGCGTTAGCTAACGTTAAGCCTGTTTGCCACTAACGTTAGCTAACTATCTTAGCCACTAACACTTAAAGAGAGGGTGGAACGAGAAACATAACATCATATTTTTCGGTTCAACTGAAGCGGTGTTGCTAGTTAAGATATAACCCTTGAACCACGAAAATGCTAAACATATAAAGTTAAATTAGAAGTCTTAATCGTTTATGTTGCCCTCAATGAACTCTGGATTGCCACACACAGGCTTAGCTGTGTTAGCTACGAGCTACATTAGCTTAGCAACGAAGCACCAATGGGCTTGGGGTAACGTTAATTAATTAATTAATTTAACAGTGTATGTCTTCAAAGTCGCTCTGTTATCACGAGCAGATAACCGGCCATACTACTCGCGAGGTTTACAGCAGGTTTTGTTTGGTAACGTCACGTGTTATGTCGAATTAAGGGACACTAACGTTAACCGACTTTAGCACAAACCAACAAAGAAAATGTGGTTCTTGCTAAGTACTAAGCAGTCCCAAGCACTCCATATGCCCACCTTTTAACTAAATAAAAAACAACATTCACTGTTGAATATAACAAACTCATATAGTGTTTAATAATTTAAAGCATTCACTGAAAACGATTTTGTTTTTGTATTATGAGCAAATTAACAGTAAGATTAATAGTTTCCTGCCGGTAACCGCACTCCTGCGCCCTCCACTGAAACATTTTGACCCAAACTTAGTCGAGCGTTGTAATGTGATAGCAAATGACTTTGCGGGCGTTTACTTGCATTTCGAGCCACTGAAGGATCGCAATTACAGTTTACTATTCCTGTGTATTGACCTGAAGAGAGAAAATACACTTTGGAATGACAGGGACCATGTTTAAATGCATCAGCACGGTCAAAACAGTCACCGGAAATGCTTTTTTTGTGTTTTTAAATGTCTTTCTATTGTCATGTAAAACATTTAAGTGACAGGCACTCTTTCACGTCACCATGCTGACACTAAAGATGTTTCATACATTTCAGATGCTTATGATGGGTTGTGAATTGGTGTGCATCTATGTAAACAGTTTCAACACTCTCAGGGTGTTTGCAGGTAATCATTATCTATTATGGGCCATCTCAGAAAAACAATCATGCCATATGGCATGCTTAACAGTGCAGCCCGACAGCCCCTGTCACTCACACACACACACACACACACACACACACACACACTCATGTCAGTTATTTTTCAATACCAAAGATAAGGAAATATACACAGCATGATGACCTTCTTGCAGGTTAACCCTTTGAGGAAAATGCAACACATTGGGGCCTTTAATTATAAGTGTATCCTTAAAAAAAACTACCACACTAACATCTCTTATCTAGTGTAATTCCAAACAAAAGGCTTTACACATTCAAATATGAGAACCATTCAATCCTGACAGTGATGTGGCAAACGCAGAACAATGACTTGACATGTCCCAGACAGAGTGGATGCAGCTCGCTGTACCGCGTTTTTGGTGTTAGCTGTAATAACCAAAAATGTGTCAGATAATGGAGAAATGCATAGCCAACACTTAATTTCATACATTCTGGATTTAATAAATGGCTGCCTGTATTAATGAATGCACCATTTAAAACTTGCTTTTGAGGACCCTTACTTCATGGCCCAGTCCCAATATCCATGCTAATCATTAAGCCTTCATAAATATTAATGCTGCTGACTTTCTAAATAGTACAATAATACTGTTAAGCTGTAAAAGCTCCTTTTGATCGTAACAGCTCATTAACATAATGATGTTGAACAATGACCTTGTTGCTATGTAGACTTGTGAATTTCCCTTTTGTATTTTTTCTGTCATCGTTGGAACACTGTAGTGTGCGTGTGTGTGTAATCTCCTCAAGCGGGGACATATGGAAAGGGCTCAGAAAGCCATTGGATGCTCTAGAAACTCACAAATTCTGGTCTGTGGCGTCCTCGACATGCCCTTCACTTGGGGTTCTTGTCAGAATGAATTATTGAAATGCTCAGAACAACTCCAACATTTGACATAGACACAGTGCTCTGCAAAGTTAGCCGGTAAACAAGTCAGGGCCTCAAATCGGGAACATTTCGTGATCTTTTTTGGGAGACAGTGGTACTAAAATTTAGAAATAGGAGCTCTTGCTTCTTGTAAATGTGCTCTTTATCTTAAGTCATAATGGTAAACGCATCGCAATTGTGGATCCCCTTGAGCAGTGTGTGTTGTTGCTGTTTAGACCGGCTGTTGTTGGTATTTAGTAATTTAAAAAAAGCATACACTGAGAGCTGTGACTCAATATATACGCAAAGGTAGCTGCTTCAAGAAGCACCAACACAGCAGACATTTCTTAACTTTTTGCCTCAAGAAGACCAACGGACCACGCTAGCCAGCCAGCTAGCGCTGCTGCAGGTACGTTAGCATATCTCGACAGCTAATTTAGCTAGCTTACTTTGGATGACTGGTTGTATAACTTGATAAGGCAAATGTAGTCTCTTGTTGGGTAATGTTAATTGATATTTCTATAATCTAATGCTTGCCAACATAGATGCGTATATTGTATGCTACTTACATTTTGTAGATTTATTAAGCTAAACAAAGTTAAAGATTGCAATTCAGAAGTTAAAAACTAGCTAGCAAACATGCTACCTTGTTAATGCATGTTATCTCATCCATTGTGCTACCAATTGGTGAACACTAGAAATCTTGTCTTTTCTACGTCGACCCTTTCCTCTGTCATTACCCCTTTTGACGACAACACCAGAAGACACCAGTGTTTCCTTACTCGAGGAGAAGGGGGAGATGTTCCAGGAAAGGTATAATGAAGCCACAGCACAGTTACCATGCACAGGTTCTCTGAGGAACTGCTGGGTGAAACTCCTGTAAGACAGCAAAGTCTACAGCGGTGGCCATTAGAAAACGCATCGTTTTTCATGAGACTATTTGCACCGATGGCCTGTCTGTAGCTGTAATTTTTTTTCCTTTGTAATTAGCTTTTCTTTTTTTTTTTTTTTACTGGAACTTTGAGTCAGAAATCAATTTTGGTTTCATATGTGAAGAAGCTAAAAATAAAATTTAAGATATGTTCAAAGAGAAAATGTCTCATGTATGTTTCTTTTTGTAAAATTGGAATTTCAAAGCCTTTTTTTAACAGTATAGCTCAAGACTTAAAGGATTAAACTAAAAACATCATAGACGAGCAAGTGTTGAAGTATTGGTTCTGGTATTGAACATTTCTTCACCAGCGAAACACGCTACGCTCTTTTTTCCCCCTTTTCTCCTTTCTCTTCAGAAGGTTTCATTTTCATTCATAAAGGAAGAGAGAGAGAAAAAAAGATCACCAAGTAGCTGAATAAGTAGTCCCACTTACAGAAACACAGAGGCTTCGTATTGATCCATTTATAAAAAAAATCCTAACAAGTAACAAAAAAGTCTTAGGTTAAATAATCGGTTACTAAAGAATTAATCAGTGACGCAAGTAACTGTGCTGAAATACGAAGGTGTCAATCTGAATTTGAATTTAACTGATGCCCTTTAAATTGGACTTGTGCTCATTTTAAAGGGAGGGAGGAAAGAGTGGAGCCCTACTATGGTATGTTACGCCAAGTTCACACTACACGGCCTCCAAAGTCGTCAGATCGCTGTTCCGTCCACACAATTTGCTGCTCTATAATCGGGAGTCTAGGGAGTGTGTGGCTTTCACACTGCATGACTGACCGGCGACAGAGGTTCACACATCACAAGATCATCCATTTGGAATCCAAACTAAGTTTTTCATGAAAACTCATGCAATACGGGCGTAGCGTAGTTATTCTTGTTGTCATCGGTTCACGCAATAGCCTGTTTCCAGACGTCTTTGCTAGATTTGCCTCTGATCTGAGGCTTTTGTCCGGCAGCTCCAAAAACTGTCAGCGAGCGGAGAATCTGGGCTGAAGTCGTGTAGCGTGAACAAGGCATTACTTGGCATCGGAGGACAAGCGACAGTAAATCAGTGGGATTAACTTTCCGCAGTGAAGATCAAAAATGAAATCTTCCATTTACTGTCGAGCAACCCGGGCAGAAGCGGTCAGGGTCACAGTGGATCTGAAGCATCTTGACGACACACAACAAAATACACAATCATTGTAGTTTTGTGGCAGAGAGTACACTGAAACATAAAAAAAAGACACTTTCGGTTGCATTGAAGCAGGAGTTATGCAGCCAGTGTAATGGGTCTAATGGGTAACTCTGGGTTTGCTCCACCAGACATGCATGTAGTGAACACTCCTTATGCAAACACAAATGAGATAGCTTTGACCTGTTATCATCGTATACTGTGATGGAGAACTGTTGGGTTCTGTTATGCGTTATTTATTGGGTTATTCATTGTCATTAACTCATTTTGTTAATGAAGACAAGTGATACATTTTTATATCTGATCATGTCAGAAATTAGTAATGTGATCAGTATGCTAGGCTAATTTACATGCTATTGTAGAAGTGGTTGCAGGATAAAAAAGTTGGAAAATCCCTCTTCATGAAAGGTTACTTTTTCAAAATAAACACATGGCCCAATGTTAATGCTGATCCAAGACAATTGTGCATATTCCACCAAGAGTGAACAGCTGTGACATCAGAATCGACCGATGTGTGCTACTAACCAACTTCTGTGTCCTACAGGAATGTACAATGGATGTGCACGTTATTCAAAGTTCAGCTGCTTAAACATGGTTCCTTGTTGTTTTTCAGCCCGCTGTTTGTCACATGGAAAATAGGCAGAGACAAGCGGTTGAGGGGTTGTATAGGTACATTTTCTGCCATGAATCTGCACTCAGGACTCAGGGAGTACACCCTTACCAGGTAAGCAACAATACAAAGTCACTTTTCTATGTTTCCAAGCTGTAGACCGATTGCTGCAACGGTACAAAAGTGAAGTAGTGGTAAATTAAAGTGAACAACAGGGATATTAGAATTTAGACCCCCAACAAGGGTGACTTTGTACCAACAGTAGTAGTAAATAACCCCCGGAACTGACAGTTTGCCTGTGCATGAGTGCAAAAAAAACCAACACAATTTCTGTTTCTTATAGTATTTACTTTTTTGTTCTGTTTCATTCATGTAGCTCGCTGTAGCGCTGTGTGGAGCGCGTATCTCCATTGATCCCAGGTCCTGGGGCTTCAAAAAAAATATTCAAAAGTTATTCATGTCTTTTTAAGTAGGTTTTTCCATTAACCATCTTCCTTTGACATATACTCATTTTAGACAAGTGGATACAATTTACTGTCTTTGTGTAAGCACTTTCTTTAATAGTCAGACAAACTGCAGTTACAGTATGCTGGCAACACAGTTTGTTATCAACACCGATGTGATGTAGAAGATGCCAAAAATACTTTAGTGTCGGTGACATGGCAGTCCTGAGATTTTAAAAGGACAGACAGTGACACAAATGAAATGTATTGACAACTCAACTATAACTGTAATGTATGTAAATATGTTTTTAATACAAAAAAAAAATGTAAAGCTGTGATAATAAAAGAGTCCTTGTGTAGTTGTATTTGGGAAGTCCAGACAAACGCAGTGACACGGGTTAAACCCACGTTGGTGGTTCATCCGGCTGGTGGGTTGAACGCCGGTTGGGCGCTACTTGGCTTTGGTGGTCGAGTGTTTCAATTAGAAATGTACTTACTGATATTAACATCTAACAAACGAAGAGAGAACGAGAGTGTCTTCAGTGTACACACGGCCGTCCGCAAGTACCTGCTGTGGAATTTCTTCACCAGCATTTTTTTCACCTGAGGGCAGACACTGCTGACGTGTCACATGTATGTAAACACACACACAGTCTCCTACCGGTGCTGTGTACAAATATACACATTACAAACGTCACGTCAGCAGCAACGGTCAAGAGTCCATGTTGCGAACACGCTGGTCTCTGTATGGCCATAGGTCAATCTATAGCTGAGACGAGGCATCGCTGATCCATCATAACATGTTTGGAAATTTGCCCTTTAGTCTTAAAAAAAATATGAAGTTATGAGTGCATTGCATTGTCAAACCATTGGACGTCTTGTAACGGTGTTTTTCTTTGTGCTTCTGTGCCCGCAGTGCCCTTAAAGACAGCCGCTTCCCCCCTATGACAAGGGATGAGCTGGCTCGCCTCTTCTGCTCAGTGTCTCTTCTCACCAACTTTGAAGACGTCGGTGATTACCTTGACTGGGAGGTAAGACATGGTTTGTAAAAAAAAAAGGTCTTTCTGCAAATTAATACACAGCAGCTCCTCCACATTGTATTGAGGTTCATTTTTTTTTTTTCAAAGGTAAATTAAATTCTAATCATGCTGTGACTTATTTGAACAGTTGCAAAAATACTGTTTCCTTCTTGAATTCTAGGTGGGTGTTCACGGTATTAGGATAGAGTTTTTCAATGAAAAAGGATCAAAGCGCACCGCCACCTATCTACCAGAGGTTGCAAAGGAGCAAGGTAAGATCCATTTGTGCCCCTGACATCTCAGCCTAATCTGCTTTATAGAAAAGACAGTGTATGTTGTGCCCGATGTGCATTTTTCAGCAATGTGTAAAGAGATTTAAACTCTTATTTTACAAAGGTTGGGACCACATTCAAACCATAGATTCCTTACTACGAAAGGGAGGTTACAAAGCTCCCATCACAAACGACTTCAGGAAGACCATTAAGTTAACCAGGTAAGATTGCACTGTATTACCCACAGACATCGTGTGTCACTGATGTGCGCTCTGTTTTCCACATACATTCATTTTGAACCATGTCTTCGAAAATAGGACGGGAAAGTCCTAAAACTTCACCTGAGTACATTGCCTTAAGTGATGTCACTTGAGGCAATTTAATCAGGTGAAGTTTGAAAATGAAAAAATTGGGAAGTTACAAAGTTAGAAAGAAGAGCTTACCAGTCCTCTGTAGCCTGTTACAATAACTCACCCAAATGTCCTGTGTTTCGGTGCGGACCGTGGCCGATCATAGCTCTCCCAGCGTTCACGTCAGCCAGCCTTCACCAACTCATCTCGTCTCATCCTCAGGTACCGTAGCGAGAAGATGACAATGGGTTATGCAGAGTACATCGCCCACCGCCAGCACCATCACTACCAGAATGGCATCGGGCACCCTCTACCACCCTACAACCATTATTCCTGACAGCGAGCCGCATGACCAATCATTGGACCTCTCCGCGGACCTTTTCCCAGGAGAGCCCGCCCCCTCCTGGTCTAGCTATTTCTACTACTGTACCATTTTATGATGATAGTTTCCGTTGCCATGCTGGCCGTCTCCCAGACGTTGACATGGCAACGGGTGGCAACGAAGCATCATTTGATTCTGGCAAGAAATCCACATTTCTGTTTCTTTGCCCGTGGTTACGTTTTTGCAGCATATGTATACCAATATCTACAACGCCCCTATCTATTAATCTTTTTGAAAATTAAACGACTATTAGATTGTTTTCAGCAAACCTAATCCGGTGTTTGATTCTGTGGATGGAAGGAAGTCTTTTTCGGTGCATTAGTCTCGCGCTTATATTGTTTAGGCTTTGCTACAATTTTACATTATCTAAAAATAAAATAAAAAGATCTTATTTTTTCCTTTTCTTTAACTTACTATCCAGACATGTATGCCATGTAGCAAGGCAACTGCAGTTCTCAAAGGCTGTGTCGTCTCTATTCTGACTCCTCTCAAAAAAAACACAAAAAAGTGGTTGACTGTTGAGCCTTGTTAACTCGTAGTGTTGTAGTTGGAACTATATATATACCGGGATCTGTATACTCCAAAGTCTAGATTGTGGGATTGTGATGCCCTTTTGCTGGTCGTGTGTATTGTTTGCGCTCACAGTCGTGTGTGTTCTTCTGTGTGGGTATAGATATTGATCTGCCACAAGATGAAAACCAGTAGAGTGAATTAGAAATTAGATTTTTACCTAAAGATTCCCCACAGAGATTTTTTGTTTTTTGAAAATCCTCTCCTCGGTATTTGTAGTGTTTTGTGGTGGGACCTGTACACAACGGACTGAGTTTGTTTGGCTAGAGCTTTCAGCCGCGCTCCCTCTTTTCTGTTTAACTTTTTTAAATGTACGGTAGTCTGCGGAGGAAGCCATGTTGTCTGAGGATAATCACATCAGGGCGGGGGATTTCTTAATGTCAAAGTGGATCTTGATTGCCTCGCATTGGAGAGGGTGAGCAGGCGCAACTACAGATCCATAGGGGAAAAAACAAAAAAATAATTTGCATGAGCAGTGCTTTCATTTGAATTGACTGTCTGTTGGTTTCTGAGTTTACTGGCAGGGAGTTACTTGACATGCTATAGCTAAAGCCATATTCTCCTTTTATTCCACACTTTGTAATAGTAACCAGTTTGGATTGAAGTGTTTGCATTCGGTACCACTTTGTTGATAACCTCATATATATATGTATGTATGTATATATATGTATGTATATATATGTATGTGTATATATATATATATATATATATATATATGAAAATGAATGAATCTTCAATCTCTGAATGCAAACTGACACCAGTCAAACCCACCGGTTTCAGTCAGATGCCGACCACATCGCCCGTATTGTCGTGAAAACGTTGTCTTGCCTCTTCAGATTATAGCTAACCATTTGTCACTCACTCGTCACAAAGGGAGGCATGTAACTAACACGTTTGTGTCATTTAGGAATGCATTGTCGTCGTGCTCGTCAGATCCTGAGGCAGGTGCAGCAAGTTGATTTAGTTGTTAAAACCGCCCCCCCCCCCCCCCCTAAACACTCTGCAGTTCAGCGAGATACCCGTCGGATCTGTGTGTCCATGGTGCAGGAGTTGTGGTCTGTTTAGTCAGCTGTTAGAGCAAACACAGTTGAATTAGTTAGAGCGGAATCTCTGCGTGGGGCCCGGTGGCTTGCAGTTAAAGTCCACAAATAAAAAGCCGGGGCTTTGTTGGGACTCAAGAAGCCATTTCTCATCCAACAATTACTTGTTCACATCCACACACACACACACACACTCTCACACGCACACACACTAGGCTGGTTCACGTTCCAGTGTTTGAACTGTCGAGGATCACCGTGATCCGCCTGCTTTGGGTTCGGCTTTAGTTCTGCTGACTGGAATGATTTTGAGAGGTTCTCGTTGCACGACGTCTTTCTTGGTAACAGCCTTTACTAACTGACAGGTTATTTTTCTTTATGCAAAAAAAAAAAAAAAAAAATGTCAAGGGCTTTTGGAACTCCATCCACAGTAACCCGAAATGACCCAGATTTAAGTTGTGTTGCCTTAAACGAATGATCTAGTAAACGATGGACCGACGGATGACGCTCCGACTGCTCCTCTGTCCCGGGGTTTCGCTCGCTCCCGCCTCCCCCATATTCACACCACAGTGTAGGAAAGGGCCTCAGATGTTGTGCTCCTCACTTGAATGCTAATACCTTCTCGTGCATACGGGGGCTCCTGTATGCCTGCAGTCTCCTGGCTGCTCACGTCTTACCCAGCTGCTGGTCCTCAATTCTTTCGTTTTTTGAAAGCCCCACATAAACACATTCTCTTAAAAACAATGTCGGGCACTGTGGTGTCGTTACCCCTTAAATGTTTGAAACCCACGGGAGGACGGCTTCACGCCTCGACAAATGTACGCTTTCACACGATGCACACGCTACATCAAAAGCTGGGAAAGAGGAGGAGCAGTCGGCCGTTCAGTTTCCCAGTCCATTCAACACAGCACAACCTGAATTTCTTCTGCTGCAAAACCAAATTGACCATGCTCTTTTACATATATGTCTTTGTATACACATGCAATGTATTTAGTTGCATGTATGAGTATGAGACCTATGGTTTTATCCATGATATGCTTGATCTATGGCTTAGACGCTCTTATTTAACCATTAAGAGATTTAAAAGACAAATATGGTGCTATCGGACCTCATATTGGGGTGGTCACACCTCGTGACTGGTCATGCGGACTCATTGATCATATCATACTTTAAAGATGCTGCATGTAAGATTTTCTCCCGAGTGTGTCGCTGTGAATCCAGTTTGTGACGGCACATTCTTAAAACTGAAGGATGTGACCGATGCAAACGGTAGCCCCAAAGCCTCTGGGCTTTCATTCATCGATGCGGGCAACTTTGGGATCAATTCCCTATGGGAAAAACGAGACTGCTATTCTAACACATGGTAATGAAGAAGGAAAAGGTCCCGGCAGCAAACACCTCATAGGGGCTGCGCAATGAACAGTTAATTAATGGCCGCCATTGCGATTTAACGGCGTCATATTTAGAGAAAGTCCTACATGTGTTACCTTTTACTATCCTTGATATATGCAGATCTGTTCAACAGGTGTTTTATTTTTATTTTTAATTTTATTTTAAAATCCTACCAGTGCAAGTCAACACCCCTGCAGGTTTGAAAGGACACGAAGTCACACGTAGCCTCCCCCTCCCCTCGATTACACCCTACACTGTGGCCCAACCTCGCGGCCGGGTTTGTCAAGGTGTGTTGTCCGGTAGACAAGCGGCAGCAGTAGTGACCGTCGGCCTCCTCCGGGAAGATGGGATGCTGCTTTTTTCAGAGCGCATCCTCCGCTTTCCTTTTAGCTGCTCCATCCTTATGACCTCTGTAAAGGCACGGGTTTGATTCGTCGACGAGTGAAAAAAGGTCCCATTGCCGAGGCCGTCGCAGACCCCCTCGAACTATATGTCGAAGGTGAGCGTCTCCTGTAACGGGACGCAGAGCTAATGTTTTATGTAGAACAACGCAGAAAATAGTCCTGCTTTCTGTACTGATTTTAACTGTTTAAAGCATTGATACCTCATGGGATACTGTGGAGCGACATGTGTAGTTTGTTGTAGCAGATTGAGTTTTGGTTTCATACCAGGGTTACAGAGTTCAGCCTCAGCATTCCTTGTGTGGTCATTCTCATATTTCGTGGAATGCTCGAGCTCATGTTACCTTCGTATGTTTGACTGAACCAAAGATGCCAGCGGCCATGCCCAAATGCTGCTCTTCAGGCCTGGCTTCCTGTCCTTCCAAAAGAAACCCCCTGCAATTGACAAAATGTTTTGTTTTTTTTTCGTTTTTTTTCTCAACTTTTCATTGAGTCCATCTCTGAAGCCGTACACGGCATCAATGATGGTTAAATAAAATGGTTGCAAATTGTGGTTACAGTACTTGTTTTGTTTATTATTATTATTATTAGTAGTAGAATTATTAGTATTACTATGATTTACAAAAATGAAAATCCCATGGTGTGCCTCCTAGCTTTATGGGTTTATAAATGTTTTTTCCCTAAAGACCAGCAGTTATACTTTGTATAAAAGATGGATTCCTTATTTTTTATGCCATTAAAGATGAAAAAGCCTGTTTTCGTTACTCTGGACCCAGTAGCTGCACTGGTATACAATCGCACTGATAGATGAATAAAAAAATAAACAAAAAAAGAATAAATGAATTATTAATAACGAATGAAATAAGAACTACAATAAACTTGTGTTTGAAGCTTTTATTTAAAAAAACAAACTTAAAAAGCAAATAAAAAAAAGAAAATGACTGTTTTTGTACATCAAAATAAATTCTTTTCAAAAGAATATTTTGGATCTAGTTTCAAAATGATTTTAGTGGTTTTCTATGTTCTGAAATTTTGAGACACTGACTTCTAAGACGCGTCGCTGTACAAAATGACTTTTCTGTTGCGATGGCCTGATGGGCTGGGAGGGTTGCCTGGTGTAACTCCTCATACCAATTTTAATTTCTGTTCCTTTTGATTTTTGGATCTTTTTTTTCTTTAGTAACTTGGGAAAATGTTGATGGAATAATATGAACTGGGAACTTCAAATCCATCCCCTGTAGAGCTAGACCCTTTCTCCTTTCCTGTTGCATTGCTGTTAGTGTGACAATATTTGAAATGGGCATTTATTAAGATAATATGAATCCAAAAGAAAAATAAACGCAAACAAAAAAAAAAAAAATGATGTAAGCAAAAAAGCAAAGCAAAACAAAAGTGTTGGGAGGGTTGAAAGAATATATATAGATGGGTTATCTGAGTAAGCAATGGCTGTGGAGATAATGTAGTTTTAAACATTGTTATTACCTTTTAAAATCATTTATTCAATAAAAAAATACAAAATCAACTGAAAGGAGAACACGTGTCATTCTGTTTTCTTTCAGCACACACGCCTACAGATAACTACAGTATTTTGGTATTTCAAAATTTGAAAATGCGAGTGCGTCACATTTTAGATCCAGAAAACTTTCAGCACCAAATCAATGTGTTTAGTTGATTAGTGATTATTGGATTATGTCATTTGGTCATTTACAGTTCACACTTCCTTTATTCATGCTCATATTCAGCTTGATCCATGCTGGTCAGTTAGTGGTCAGTGTGCAGTTGATGCCGAATGGCCTCAAATGAAACAGGACGATGCTCGATAGGATCCGTAATAAAGTCTGACCTCGTGTACTGGTCGCCTTCTTCGAATGCTAAACTTGCTGTCACCAGTTTTCAAGTTTCTTTAGTAGAAAATAGTTCCAATGAAAACTGGTCCACGGTGAAGTCTGTGGATAATCCTGGCTGTAAATTTCATTGGCACCTACAGTAGTGGGTTTGGGGGCAGATACCAGTAGAGCATGCTGTGGGCTAAATGAGGATTGTCTTGTTCCAGTAACTGATCAAGTTGCCATTGAGTGCCCCACAACTAGCTATGCAACATTTCTTTTACAAACCCGTGGTTTAAACGGAACAAGGAAGCTCTCAGTCACTGAAAAGGTTCTTCATGTGACGGCAGATACAGAACATTATCTGAACAAACATCTGCTGATGAAGATCATGTGATCTGATCGAAAGCTGTGCTACTAAATGGAGCTTGAGGTGAGATTGTGTGGTTCGGTGGAAACAGAAAATCCCATCAGCCCCAGCTGCTTTTTGTGTTTAGTGCTAATTAGAAAATTGCTAACTAGCTAAACTAAGATGGTATTACCTGCTAAACGTAAGCGCGTTAACCAGCCTGCATTGTGAGCATGTTTGCAAGCTGACATTAGCATTTAGCTCAAAGACCAGCTCACCTGGATGTAGACTCGTTTTTGTTTTAAAATATATGTGGAAATGACACTGCCTTCATAACTAATGTTAATTTAGATTCATTCCTGCACTACTGAATAGACAACTGTTGGCAAATTATAGAAAATAACCAGTAACAAAAATGGGTACAGGCCAGAGGTTGTGTTTGTGTAATCTTGTTATAAATTACGTGTCTAATCAATTTTGTGTGTATCATGTCTCTTTAGAATTTATTATTAATTCCTTTCGCTTTTAGATTTTGAACACTGTTTCTCCGACCATTGCCATTTTTAACATTCCATACTCTGGTGCTGGTTACAGCACATGCTCGGCCTGCCTCTCTGCCAGTTCCTCCACCCAAAGTACTCGGCACTAAGTCAGGAGAAGTCTGAAAATACATTGCTGCAGGTTACATGATATTCAGGGCCAAGCGCTCGGAGATAGTCGACTGGTTCAGTCTGCTGCCTGTATGGAAAGCACAACCAGTGCTGGCCTGAGATCAACTCTAACCAGCGCTTTACTTTCTCTGCTGAGTCAGCCCGCCGGACGTCCATCTGTCTGAATAAACAATACCGAGTGGACTTCAAACTGCTGTTTTAAAGTCCACTTTCATTTCACCAGGCCTTTCCATTTGTGTTGAGACATGAGTCAACTTTATCAATTCCATTACCAGCCGTTACCTGAAGCAGTGGTTGTGTTGACCGAGTAAGTGACGATGCTTCTCTGCTTCCTTCCATCTACTCTCAAATAACGATGGAACCGTGTGAATCAAGCTCATTTTATCCCTCAGATGTCCCTGTGCCGCGTGCGTTTCTGCATCTGTCACGACCGCTTTAGGAGAAGAGCAGCATACATGAACACATGTTCAATCCTTAGATCCTCTCTCACCTTGAGACCTCTTCGCAGCCACTGGGGTGGTTTTAGATCGACCTCTCCTCCCTTAAGTGTATTGACGTGAGGCTACAGACGGTGGAAACTCCCGTCAGTCAACGCGCTGCTTTGTAACCCGTGTGGCCTCACAGAGGACAGTGTGCCCAAACACATGTTACAACAGCTGGAGTTTATGAGTCTGGCAGCAACTACGCTTCAGTATAGATATGTGGTGTGCTGAGAGCACAGATAAGTGTTAAAAAAAAAGACATCCTGGACATGGTTAGAATAAAAAAAAAAAAATCTAAAACGAGAACTTTGGTTAAATGAAACCACTTTTATTGTCAATACAGCACATACACTGGAACCAATAGAAATACAAAAGTTTTGTCCCTTTTTTTTTTTTTAACAGTGAAATACAGTATATGCTACAGTAACACACACCCCACACACTTGAAATGATATAGACCATGACTTAAATATTCCAATGCTGGTTAATACTTTCTTTCGAATGGGTCGTCAACTAGTGACCCAGAGTGACCTCGTGCAGATCATCCGATGCATTCTTTTTTTCGTATTTTATTTAATTTTTCTTACTAAACTGAGCCCGTGACTCGCTGTCACACAGTTGTAGCGGTGGGGAGAATTCAGGATGCCTTGTAAGATCAAGCGACAAATTCAAGTCAAGTGTCATGATGCATGACTCCAGCTCAGATACATATTTTGTCAAGATCCCCCTTGGCAAACGTCACATTCATCCCAACAACTGAACTTTATACCCAACTGAATATGGTCCAATATCGTAACAAAATAACGCAAGTACATAAAAAATACACCCCAGTGTAGATCCATGAACCCGCATTCATCACGTAGACTCTCAGCACGTACTACATCCTCGTGTCCCCTGATTATCTCAACTGGAATGATCTGAACAGGCTGGAGACGGAAACGCACAGGAGGCCACTAGAAATTGCTTTCATACCCTGTACATGTGTGGAGTAGAAGGGGAACGGAGGAACATAAATAACTTTGTATTTTCTGTCATGACAAATAAAATCCTCTGACGATTAAACAAGGCAACTTTTAACAACGGCTCGCACATTCAAAATCAGTTTCAAAACGCACTTGAGACAAGAAATGGCAGCTTCACCCACTAACATGTGACCTAGCATAACAACTACGTACAGAACTAAAAAAGTGTCACAACTGCAGGTCAATATCGACATTTCGGGTGACTCACATTTCCCTTGTCCGTAAAACTTTACATTTACAAAAAGGCAGCTTGAGACGTTTCCCCCGAATTCACTTACGTTGTTTCTGGAAATTGTATTCCCAAAAAAAGAAAAAGAAAAAAGAAAAAAGAAAGAAAAGAGGCTAAATCCGCCCAACTGCACAACGCTAACTACCAGCCTTAAAACACCACCTCATGTTTGTGCATGCAAGCATGTATGCAAGCCGACGACGACACAAAAATAATGACACATTGATTCACTGGCCCCCCCAAACGCTCACTTCTTTCATTGAAACAGATGGTAAGTCTTAAAAAGATGCATTCAAATGTTAAAAAAAGAAAGAAGAAAAACATCTCCATGAGAGCAGGCATTTAGAATGAAAGGCTAGTTCTGTGCGCGTCCTCGCGGACATTCAGTCAACTTTCTTGCTGCGCAGTCGGAGCGTGTCCAGCAGGCAGCGGCAGGCCGAGCCCGTGTGCTGCGAGAGGAGCGTGAGGACCTTCCCATGGACCAGGGTCAGCAGGGTCTGGTGGCCCGTCGCCCACACCCGGTACCAAGGCCCGTAGAAGGGGTCGGACACGGCCGGGCACAGCATGTTGTTCAGGTTGACCTCAGTCGCCTGGAGGGGGAGGGGGGGAGAAAGCGTGAGCATTAATGTGACGCTAATAGAAGTTGGAACAATAAGAACTACTCAGTCGGATAATGAGGTTTTTGGCAAACTGCATGGTGGACTTTATCGTTGATTTGTGCTCCAACTATCATTACATTTACCGAAGGATGAGTTCACGGCCTGTGAAGCCTCCACAGCTCATTATCTGACTGCATAGTTTGCTTTGACTGCTGATCTCAAATTTATTTGGACGTCTATAGATTTTCATTATAGTTTTGATATCTGCAGCGGGGGGGGGGGGGGGGGGGGGGTAAGGAGCTGTGGAGGGTTCACAGGCCGTGA